TGATCTGATCGAGAAATCCGACTAAAACCTTGTTTTCGAAAATGTCTTGTTTTTCCCCCACTTTAGCTCTTTTCACGCGGTTTTTTCGTGCATTCTATAGATCTTGCTTCTTTTCACAATGCAGACAACCACCCAGCCCTTACCTCTTCGATTATGGTGGGATTCTTTGCGAAAAATCGTAAAAAATGCGTTTTTCTTTACCTTCTATTTCAAAGCTTTCGCATCGATTTTTTTCCACCTTGGGCCATTACTGCTCAGAACAATAAGCGCAACAATTCAGACAACGTCCCACAAAACAGGGACGTCATTGAGGGGGTAAAAATCTAAGGGACACATCAAAAACCAAAACCCCGTGTTGCGAATTGCCAGTGGAGCGAAAACTTGCACTTCGAAAAGCCGCCAAATGAAAGATTTCAGACCTCTTTGCAGCGTTTTTATCCTGTTTTCAACAGTTTCTTTCGCTTTTTATTTCTGTTTTACGTCATATTCTCTTCTCTGATCTTCTTTAAACAACCTTCACTATTTATGACGTCAGATGTTCAAACAACCTTCACTTTTGACGCCCTTTCTCTAAACTATCGAAGGTATGAGTTCTCCACAGTACAGCTCTAGCACTGGTGCATGGCCATGTTCCCTGGTCAAGTGAAAGCAACTTCTGATAGTGAGCTATAAGCTTGTTCCAAGCTGGGATGAAGCTTGACCATTTACAGAATCTTGTTTTGACTTCTTGTATCTTTTTTGCCAGTCAATGAACAGCTGATGTGACTGAAATTCAAGAGATTTGCTGATTTACCTATGAATGACCGAGTGACTCCTGGATATCCAATGTTGAAATGTGAAATCAATCTAGAACACCCCAGGCATATTGTCTGAGTGACCTCACAACCTCACATCTTACGACTAGTTCACACGCAATTTCGATTGAGTTACTGATCGATTTATATTGCGGATAGCAGTTTTTGGAAGCAAAGTAAAGGAGTTTTGTTATTTGAAGCATATTCGAAAAAATTCAAGTGCAGTGTGATTTTCCTGAAATCTGAAAAAGTTGGTGTGATGTGACCGAATATTTGCAGAACGAGTGATTCTAACTGTGCGAAACATTACCAAATTGATGAACACAAGCCATCGAATTAGTTTGCTTAAACAAAATTCGCCTATACTGCTTATTTTGAATGCTCGCCGCAATAAAATCACTTTTTAGCTACGATTAGGGTTTTGAAAATAATGGCGGTCGGGCAGGAGGCAGCAAAGGCCTGCCGCTTCTGCTTATGGAAGTGCCTGGGGAGCGCTAGAGCTCCTCGCGCTTCTGATTACTTCTTCGCACCTCTAAGTATCTATCTGATATGAACTATGCCCAATAATTCGTGAACTTTTCAGTTGGGGTAGTTTGCGAGATTTAGGTCTTAAGTTTCATATTCAAAGCGAATGAAATAGTAATTCCCTGATTCAACATCGGATGCGGCATAAAGACCAGAATTTTGAGTATTTATGGAAGTATAACTTGGTGTATCAAATCTTCAAGCCGGAATGTTGAGCATATCCTTGCAACATTTTCGTCATGATTCCAATCGAAAAAAAGAACTCCAGAGACTGAAAGCCACGTACTTTATTTTAAGGGAGTCTCAATCCTTCCTACTCCATGAATTCTGAAGAAAACTGCTCTGAACCCGATATTCTGTAGGCTGAAACCGATTATAGCTAAGAGTGGAAGAAATTGCACGATTTTAAACTTGATCTGAGGTAGAGTATAATAGGTAAAATACTCTTCAAGAAGCATTTTATTTGATCCAGATCCATTTTACTTGGCTTATAAAGTAAACAAGGTGCGAAGAATGATTAGAGGCGCGAGAAAGTCTGGAGCTCCCCAGGCACTTCCAGAAGCAAATGCGGCCAGCCTTTGCTGCCTCCTGCCTGACGTCCGAAAATAATAATATTTCTCGATAAGTGACTTCTTTTTGAACTAAACTTGAGAGTGTACAATAAAGAATGTTCAATATAGTGACAGATGTGAATAAAGAAAACATTTTTCCAAGCATTTTCAAAACAATTTCCTCATACTAACAACGAAAATTTGGACAAACCTACTACGAACAGGAGGGCAGGCGTTATGGAGCAAAGCTACGCCGCGTTCCCCTGCGGTATATTCTGAGGGCCATTTGCGTTGCGTCGCTTTTAATTGCGCAAAAGTAGCGCTGCTCCTGCCAGCGGATTGAGCCATTCCCTATTACCACGACCTGATATGTTGAAACTGTATGGATGCAATAAGGAAAACAAAGAAGACGGCAATTTAGAAAATTGAAAAATAAATGAATTTCTAGGGATGAATGAAGGGCTGAATCTGAGATGATCCAATGATTGATTTGAGCTAAAAATGTTCTAGAGAAGTGGAACACGAGAATTAGTGGAGAAAAGGGATAGAAATTCTCCGTCATGAGTTTCCAAGAATCAACTCAATCATCTTTTACTTTCTCTTGGCTTGCTTTGCAGACTTTTCCTCCTCATACTCTATATTTGATTCGCCCTTAAAATGTGTTTATCATTCACATTTTGATCTCTTTATCTATGGAGAGTGAGGAAAATGGCTCAATTCGCTCGGGCTAGCTTCTCTGCGACTGCGATTAGGATCGACGCAACGCAAAGGGCCCTCAGGATATACCACAGGCAATTGCGGCGTAGCTTTGCTCCATAACACGACGCCGCCCTACGAACAAATGTCTGAAATACATTAAGAAAGAGCTTGCGAACTAATTCTATAATGAAAAATGATCTGAAGACTGATTTTGAATTTGATTGAAATTTTGAAGTGTACTGTTATCCAAATTGCAACCAGATGAAGCATGAACGAAATATTAAGGAGTTTTCAAATAGCTGCAACGCATTTCTAGGCTAATTAATAAAGGGGCGGAGGGATCAGCGCACCGCGTACGGTATCTAGCTGGCGGCTGGCACATGCTATCGTTCATAAAGTCACTCACCCCAATCAAAGGCAATTTATGAGGAGATTTTTTCAATATAAGTATGAAATTTCAGAGCGTATGTTATGAAATGTGAAGAATCCAGAACATATTAGAAGAGCTTCTGGGATGAAGGTGGAGTTTGTAAGTTTCTAGGATAATCACACAAGACACCCTACCGACGAATCAGACCTGGAGGACAATGACGCCTGTCTATACTGCATGTGGTGTTGTTTCGATTGGCATATTATCTTACAAATTGTGGCACCGTCCCAAATTATGAAATTTGGCTTGTAATCATACCAAATTTGGCATCGTCGCAACTTACGAAATTTGGCATAGTGCCAAAGATTTCACCATCTCCGTCTGCTGTTACCTCATTTTCCGTGTTTCACAGATATGGGGGAGCGAAGAGTGGTAAACAAGAAATCATTTGTTAGTTGACAAGTCTACAGCAGACCTAGTGCCTTCAACCTTCATGCCAAAATGGGACTTGACGCTTTCAAGAAAAAGCGGCGCCCAGAAAGTCGTAGAACAACCTTACGCACCTCTAACGCAAACATCATTTTCATATGTATACAGTCTGCTCCAATCGGGATCAGGCCGAACCGTTGGCGTAAATTTGCGCGCTCGCAGCGCTAACGGTCTGCGCTGCATGTGCGCGCTGTCGGAGAGAGCAAAAAGATTGAAGAGAGAGCAGAGAAGCAGACCGTGGGCGTGACCGCAAAACCCTAGCGACGCGGTCTCCCGCCATGCCAATTTTGGCCTGGTTGGGATTGGGGCAGACTGTACGTGGACCTACTTGGGGTAACTAGGTCAATGCGCTGTGCATGCAAAAAATGAGACGCACCGCTGTTGTTCACCATACGTTGGACAAGTGATTTCATAAAGCTTTATTTTGCTTGATGGAGGTAAACAAATCAATAGATCAAAGGACGCAACATCGTCGCAAAAAGTAGCCTATCTATTGCACCGTGCCTCATTCAAACGGGAGCAAATTTTAGCCATCGGTTCACATACAAAAAGGTGTATAAGCCACAAACATGGTAACTAACAAATTTACAGAGTTTCAGTTCTATTTATATATGGATAACCTTCGAGCGCAATGGATCATGCCCCGGATTCAAGAAGTGTTTGTCGCTGTCGCGAATTTTTCAATCTGAGAGTAATTCACACATCTCATTTAACCCAGCTGTGGTAACAGAATGCTACAAAATCTATCAAAATTTATTTTTGAGGTGTTTCAGAAAGAAACATGAGTAACGTTTTTCTGAGTATTCGACGAGTCTTTACTGAAGTTGTGTGAAGTTTTGTGAAGGCCAGAACGGACCTGAAATTTGGAACTAGGCAGTGAAGGGCGTGGCTAGCAAATGAGCAGGTTGTTGATGCACACTTCATACCCATATCATTGTTTAAGAGTCAGTCGCCTTATTCAACAATTCTACTTCTTCATTGGGAGGGGGACACGCGGAAGACGACAATGCGGGCCAAATACACTCGATGCAAAACCCCTCCTGCTAAACTTGAATTTTTTATGGCATCGAGTCACATATCTATCCAGCATCCCCTAGTTTGCCACCGTGCCACTTTAGCACCAAAGAGTTTGAGAGGGCAAAATTCAAGGTCGTCGGAGTTTTCGCCTCAAAACCACTGAAGTCATGATTTGTCAGATTTAGAACCAGACGTAAATTCATACTCTTGAGGAGCAAGACCTGCATTTTCAGCCGTGTAAACAGGATGTGCATATAGTATTACTTGAGATGGATTGCGAGAGATGTCTGCCGGTTTTTAGTGCTACATTTAGCTAGACAAATCCTCAATTTTCTTGAATACGTGCCGCAACTGCGTCGTTTTCCCTCTATTCTTCACATGCTTGGTCGTTCAGAGATGACGTGTAGAATTTCTCGTGTAAATTTCTAATGTATCGCGCTCAAATTTGCGCGCTGCGTCGCAGCCGCTGTTACATTTCACTTAGTCTTTCCATTTGTGCATTTTTCCAACGCTCTTCCTTTGCATTTTAAACAGTACCTCATCGATGTTCACACAGTTTGATCTGATTATCTGTTCATTTACTCTCCCTCAAGTCAGTAATTGTTCTCACGACAGAGAGAAAAAATATATTATAAAGAAGATTCTCTTTACCATGAATGGGGCAGGTACTCTATTCAAGCAGCGTATGCTTTTCCTGTTAATTATATCTCTCGATCAATTTTCAGAATGTGTGAGAGATGACTGGGAAATGTCTCCGGTTTCGAATTCTGATCTTCGCTCTTGCACTTGGTTTTACGTGTGCAGTTCGCGTAACAGGTGCGTTTGCCAATCATCACAGTAACACTTTACTATTGAATTGCTGTTAGCGTAAAGTAAATCGTATTGAGAGCGTCTTTTCGCTCTAATGGTAGCAGCGGTAAAGGCTGGATTTGACATCAGTTCCATCTCCTGCAGCGCAAAACCGCTTATATAGCAGATTGTTGGTTCTCATGAAACCAATTTTAACTCTATTCTAGGCCGATGGAATACTGGTACAAATCTTGCGAAAGTGGTTACTAAGTTTGGATTCCAACAAACCAGTGCATTAGATCGAAAAAACACGCGTGGATTCGTGTTTGGGAATGTCACTTCTACAAGCTCTTCCTCACGTAGGTGTCATTTATCGCTATGAACATTACGTATAGGTTTCATGACCATTTTGCTTGAAAGTGGGCGATATCGTGCGCTCGGTTCACTTGACACTTTCAGGATCTTTCCTTTTTGCTTTGGTCCCTCAAACGTTAATAGGGTCTTTCTATGACGGTTTTCGGCATACATCAACATGTGATGCAATGATGAACGTGAGTATGAGTATTGTTGTTAAGTGTTTTCTCTTTTTGCATTTACGTTTGTTATCTATACTACTTGCTATTTTCTGTAATGACTGAAACCTATGTATGATCTAAGTGCATCTTGGAATTCAACTAGCATTCTTTATTACTTCACGTCCTTGAACACAGCGAGCATAAATGGTGATCAGTGATTTAAAAGCGATGCAGCAGTAGACATTCCAAAATTCCCAAAACAAAAAATCTGCAATAAAACAGTTATTTTTGCGCATTCTACCCGCATTTACTCAGGGATACCTACTTGCATGGGAAGGTTGATCGTCACCGTACCTACGTAGTTGACGGACGGAACTCCTATGCCATAGTCTATGTACATGCTTTATCAATGATCCCTGCAACTAATACCGAACCCATTGAGCTCTGCAAAACTAGTGTAGTTTACTCTGTTGGTCACTCCACCGTATGAGTACTAGATCGATCACCCGTTGGGAATAGGTCACGAGCTTCGCTTGAAGGCAGTGACTTAAATTTCAGGCTTGGTAGACCCCCTTTTTCGCTCCGAACTTCAGTCATCGCTTAGGTAGGGGGTCTACTATTACATCATTACGAGAGCCAGGTACCCCCAGTCTGGTGGGACGCTGCCTTTGAGAAACTTATACAGGAAATAGATGGTTGCATGCTCTACTGGATAAACTTAGTTCTTGAAGCCCCCATGTGAACACGAGTTTTCAGCAGTTTGTGGATAATCTCCTTGGTACCGTTACGCTGCTCTCAGTGTCATGTTCTATACATATGGAAGCGGCTTGACTGAGTGTTGACTCGACTTCTTAGAGTTCAAGAAGTTTGAGACATCTGATTGCTATGTGCAGATCTTGCTTTGACACATGATAGAACAGCAAAACATTAGCTTTGACCCTATGTCAGTGCTGGTTCGCGGCTTCGCGAGTTATAGAACGGGTGACAGTAATATTAGGCGTGAGAAGTAGGACGCAGGTGTATGAACACATTCATAAACAGGAAGGTGGCAAGCGAACACCCCTTTCTCGCGTTTGCGCTAATACTTTTTGCTTGAGCAATCAACAGCCATGCAACGAAGGATCTCTAGGGTTGACAGTTGCGAGGAGAGGCTGTGCTAAGTGTGATATGCTCTGCAAAATCTATGTAGGAGCGGCTTCATAAGCGAAATGTCCCGAAAGTGTGGAATTGCATGCATCTTTGTAAGAGTGTAAAAGACATCTAGAGCAGTGTGGCTCTCAGTTCTTAAAATTTATTACTAGTCGAATAAGCATACTTCCATTTAGTCTACCGCTAATGAGTGATATCATATAACATGTAGGTTTGTTCAGAAATGTCAATGCGGGTAAGCCTGCGTGACGTTCCTGAGAGGCTAACATAGGGTAATCACCTATTTTGACAAGCGCGAAAAATATCTTCCCTCCCTATTCGTACCCATTCGTGGATGCAGCTTGTCCGCGTTAATACTTTGGACCATTTTTCTTCAAAGGTTCTTGTTCAATGATGTACTTATGCTAAAGTTCGTATAGAGTTTGCTAAGGTTTTGTTCCTTTCTCTCTTCGTCGACAGCTAGTGTCGATATAAGTTACTTGTTTCCTTCTCCCCTCCCTCCCTCTCCCCATGTTAAAGACGATAAGACACGATGGACTCCTCTTTTAAACCCTATTCAGTCTATCGCGCGTACGCTTACAACTGCATACAGTGAAACAGTAACGGGATTATTAAATACGGTTGTAGTGCTCTGACGTGACTTGTGGTGATTCTTCCACCTTCTCAAATGGTTTTTAGAAGGTTTCGAAGTAATCATGGTATTAATCACTATTTCAGAACATCAGCCAGATTGGTTTCGAATCGCGCTGCTTGACGAAAGGTAAACGTGGAGACATTTTTCGATGGATACCTTGCATGAAGGGGAAGCTTTGCCGTGTAGGTGAACATTTTTGGTGGCGACTGTTGAGCTTGTCATTCTTATTTTAGGAGGAAGATGATCCCAAAGTAGTTGTTCCTGGCTATCAAATGACTATGCAGATCGAGGAGCCGTCAACACCGGAGTACTGGTATGTTTTCGTTCTGATCAGAATTTGTCACGTTACAGTTGCTTCAAAAGCAACATCATATTGCTTCCCACGGTTATAAATCTACGGAAGTGATTGTTGGTTAAGAAATCTTACCCTCCCACTTCACTCACTTGAATATCAACTATTCTGTGGTATTATCATGCTAAAGGTATCCTGTTAGAATTGGAATATAATGTACTTACTCTAGCATGGACGATAACAATCTTGACATCGCGTTATTCCTCTTTATAGTAGCTTCTTTCGTATTGGGAGAAAATTCCTGTATCATCTCTGTTCTTGGGTTTTGGCTTACACCAGAAGCTTTTTTTTGCCTAAATGCCAGCATCGGACCATGCTCAGAACGCAAAAGCTCAAGCAGACTCTTTCCATAGGGTTTTCGCACTTGTCAAAAGCAATGTTTACAATAATTTCATAGATGACAAATAACCAAAAGCGATTCCATTGTTCAGTTCAGTTGCGACAGCGATTATATGAAATGTATATCTTTCGATTATGATAGCATTTCTCGCTGTGGCAAACTTGCGACCATTTTGAGTCGTTGTTTTTTCTGTACCATTTGGAGGATACATTATATTAAGAAGACCTAAGGGCGTTTCGAACATGATGATCGCGAAAATCGGATCTTGTTCAATTTTCGATGTTGCGGTAGGCATGGTAAGTCCGACAGTCTGTCCACGCCGACACAGGCTCCTTGCAACTAGCGTTTCATGTGCGCCAAGGTTTGGGTACAGTATGCCCCTATTGGGATCAGGCCGAACCGACGGCTGATTTTGCGCGCTCGAACGCTAGGGATTTGCGCTACATACACGCGCTATCGCAGAGAGCGAAAAGATTGAGGAGAGAGCAGACTAGCCAGCCGTAGGCGTGACGCAATTCCCTTGGGACACAGGTTCCCGCCATGTCAATTTTGGCCTGGTTAGGATTGGAGCAGACTGTAGTTTTTAGCGTAATCTTCAAAGTAGATCCCAGCGAACTGACATCCCATTATTTCCAATTTTCCAAATTTCGAGCCCTATTTCGAGTTTTGTCTCTACACTATAGCTCCAAATTATTTTTCATAATCTAGTTCAATGTATCTATAGGGCGTTCGAAAAATCGTGACGATGGCGCGACTGCGCGCGACGCGCACGCATTTCTAGCAACGTCATAAGTTCTATTTCACTAATTTTTACAGGAAATTTTATTCCTTGTTACAGTACCTTTACTGCTTTCAAATAAGGACTAGCTTTCGAGATGGAAGCAGGAGAATGAAATCACACTAGCTTCAGTCATTTCAAGTTATGCTTCTAAAAATCTGAAGCTTATAATAGACTTGGGAGCTGCAACATAAGTCTTTACACCCTTTGCAACAATGCACATGCATCAGGTGAGCATATCTGTGGATATTCATGATCTTCGAAAAAAAGCCAGAAAATCAAGTTTGCCGTTTGGTATTGCTCACTTAAAAAGCATAGCACTTCAAAGATATGCCCAATCAACACAAACTCTGCACAGTTGGAATGTGCACCAATTGGTTTACTTTACTGCTTGCATCAGAATTTACCGCGAGTTTCAGATTTTTAGCAGCCTAACTCATAGTGACCGAAGTTAAAGTGATTTTATTCTCTTGCTTCTATCTCAAAGGTTACCCTTTATTTAAGTGTAGCAGAGGTTCTGTAACAAAGAATGATCTCATCTAGTGAAATTAGTGAACAAGAATTCATGATTTCTCAAAGATGTGCGCCAGAACTTCTGCACCAACCTAATATAGCAATGCGATATTTACGCCTTCGCGAAAGACTTGAGAACTTTCTCGCTATTCTTCGCAGGCCACATATTGAGCTTATTTCTGCAGTTGCGGGCTTAAAAGAGTGAAATTGAAAGCGGCCTACATTATGGTAAGTTTGTAGCTCGTCTGTAAGTGTCACCCTTTTGACGCAATTTTTTAACCGAGCGTAGTTCTAGCAGTCGAGAATGCATAGCAGTTCTCAAAGTAATGTGCTTGTGCAAGAAAACTCCGTGAACCACTTTTACCTGCAGTCTGAGTTCCAATACCGAGGTTTAAAATGCGTAAATGTTCGCCTTGTTAAACAAATTTCCGCATATTCTAGGTATACAGATTGTGGCTTACTTTTAGACTTTAGCTATGCAGAATTTGAAAACTAAAGCTTCGCTCATGCATAGCTTTGGCTAGTTTTCAAGAGTGCCCTAGATTTTGTTATTTTTCTTTAGTAGTGAAATCAGTACATCCAAATATGCACAACACGGAATCTAAAACGATTAGTACACCATAAGGCAACGTACGGTGGTGTATTAGCGACTAGCGCTGGAGGTGTCAAAGGCATTTGCAGAAAGTTAATGCTACGTATTCTAGTGCCCAAATGTTTAGGTACGTAGTGCTAGTGGCTTGTAACCTTGACACTGCTTGCAAGTGGGTCCAGTCTAATACAAGTGCTATACTTGACTACGATATATGGCTAACCAACGGTCGACCAGGCTCCAGGGCTGCCAGTTCTCTTACGCTGCAGTTCTCTTTTGATGAACAGGTAAAACCCATTGCACTATACATGCATGACAAGTTGTACCTTCCATACATGGATCATGTCATTGATATCACTAGATGCATAACATCACCAAATTTTTGTTGCACTGCCGCTTCAAGAAAATTCTTCCGAAGTTGCTTTGACTTATATGCATTGAAAAGCTCCTCAAAATTAGTATCCTATTCAGGATACACTTGAAATATACGTGGTCACGTTTGTAATCTATCTTGTTTTATTTTGGATAATGTCCCATGGACTGCAACTAATCAAAAGCAGGGCACCTCCTGAAAGGCTAAGGTAGTTTTTCTTCCGTGTTAGTAGCATTTACTGTAGTAATTCCATCTCTATCTCGAATGCTGCGCTTTTCTAGGTTGCTCAATGTAATAATTGTCATGAAAACAACGGGTATTGCTTTGCAGTGCTTGAATGTTTACGTATTTTCGTTAGATGGACAAGGTTTATTTTTCGCTCGAGTGCTGGGCGAAATTCTTAGGTATGCTTAGCATGGTCATGGCCAGCGTTTAACATTGATAAATTATTTCCAATCTTTCCGTTGCAGAGTAGCTGGTGTTGAAGTATTGTGGTTACTGTTATTGCTATTATCGCGGGGTTGGGAGCTGTACCCAAAGACAGCAGTTTCACTTCGTTCATGTTTGATAGCCTGGAGCATATTTGCGGCAGTATACTTTCTTTTATTTGTTTTCAACTTTGTAAGTGAAATCCGAGCCATTATTCCTTTACAAAAAGAGCACTTCAGATCTACCTTTTCGATGTTTTACACGAAATAGATGTATTCTCTTCTTGGCCAGGGTACGGGCAACTGTTTGTGAGAATTTTACTGGCTCTTTGGTTCCTGGCGGAAATTCGGAAGTTAATATTGAGGTGAGGACAATAACTTAGCAATCTCTCGCATACTGCGCTCGCCATAATGTAGTATCGTTCAAGGGAGAAAAATGAGGAACGTGCAGCATTTGTGGCTCACATAGGAGCTGGTTTTCTAGTCTGGTTTGTATATCTTCCTGGACTTGGTGTCATTGCAATGTTCATATCGCAACTGTGGAGGTTCAAGATAATATTGGGTTTGTGTTTTCTTTTACAAAGTTTTCATACTACCGGAGTAATTTTCTTGAGTTCCTGTTGATATGTTGAACTTGCGAACAATCTTTGACAAGATATGCTTAATTTGTCAAGTGATACACACTTTGCTTATTTCACAGTCTCACAGTCACTTTAGTAATTTCACTTCTTTCCTCAATCTCTTTATTTAGTAATCTTGGTCAGACAGAATACCGGCATACAATGGTCTTATCATTATATCCTTGGAAATTTTGTTTTTTGGCAAACGTGAGACTGAGCACAATTGCAGCAAACACATGAAAGATTTCAAAATCTACAAGCTGAAGCATGAGTTCCAAACATATGTGTAGAATAATTAAGTTTGATGTGCTTCAAAGAAACAGCTTTTTGGTTTGTTACACTTACGCACTACAAATGTTCAAAAAGCCGGGATCTCCCTTAAATAAACAATCATTGCAGTCAAAAACTAACAGCTTTTTGAAAACTGGGGGTTTGGCTTCATTGTCAAACTGCTCAAAGGCCATGGCGATAACATCACAAAGACTTCATACAGGGTGTCCCAAAAATGTATCGAATGATTCTTAATAACTTCCCTATATGGAGAGCCTTCGCGGAGTTTTGGGTGCCATACGATAAGAGTTGGGTTCAACTTAGGTTTACAGTATAGAGCAAACCACCGGTCCCTTCTAGTTACTGTAGGATTACGGTAGGAATTTTTGAACTAATTCTAAGCTTCTGACAGACGAGAACTGCTTCTAAAAAATTCCAAAAAAACCAAAGAACTAAACTGAGGTTTTCGGGGATGCTGAATCTAATTATCCATTTTTCCGTACTTTATCGTACTCCCCAGCTTCCTAGAGTATCCACACTGCAACGCTGAATTTTTGCTTTTTTTCCAAATTTATCTAAATCAACGTTGTTTTTGCCAATCAAAGTTCATGTGAACCTTGATCTTCTTTATCATTATCAACTGCAAATAATGATTGCAGAAATCACAAAATCAGCTTTTAAGCACAACTAAAGAATGCAAAAAAATTACAAAATCAGAAAATAAGTTGTGAAAATTTTTTAATATGCGAAAAATGACCTCTAATTCCAATATCACATGAGCAAAACTCTTTGTGGTACAACAGAAGATGCTAATTACTAATGCTTATGCTCGAATGTTGGCCGTTGTTCTCTAAGCATTGATGGCATCTCTCTGTTACCAAAACGCATACTTCGCCTAACATGTCCACCGATATCGCTCAACATTCTGCCTCAATAGCATCCTTGAGGTCTTGCATGCTAGCTGGTTTTCTTGCGTAGACCCTATCCTTTGGGTAGCCCCATAAAAAGAAGTCCAGGGGTGTAAGGTCTGGTGGACGTGGTGGATGATACTCTGTGCTACTTCCTCGACCTATCCGTTGTGGAAAAATTACATCCAGATAACGAACGACATCATGATGGAAGTGTACGGGGGCTCCATCCTGCTGAAAATAAAAGTTGTTATCCGGGAACATGTCCTGCACACGAGGAACCACATAATCTTGAAGCAGGCTCAAATAAGTGGCTCCTGTGACCGTGGCTGCAAAGAAGAGGGCCTCTATAAGGCCTAATGAAGAAAGCCCGCACCAGACCGTTACATTAGGCAAGTTCACATGTTTAAACTCTGTAATGCGTGGATTTTGAGGGGACCAGTACGAGCAGTTGTGCCGATTTACAGTACCATTGTTTGAAGATGGCTTCATCGCTCCAAACAATTCTGTCGACAAAAGACGCATCGGCTGAAAGATGTTCTAAGTACCAGTGGCAAAAACTATTCCTGCGAGGAGTATTATCTGCCGTCAGAGCTTGGACTAGGCGTGGAATGTAGCTTTTCCATTTAGATCGCCTCAAGATCCTATGCACGGATGACTTCGATGCTCCAGATTCTCGCGCAGCTTGTCGTACCGGCTTTCTGGGAGAGCGGCGGAATAATCCCAATAATTCTTCAGATCTCTGCGATTTAACAGTACTCGGTCTCCCCGATCGATCCCTATAGCAATCCTGTAACGTGAACTCTTCTTCAAACTTCTTTTGGATACGATGTGCCAAGTTGACGCTGGTACTCGAAACTCTTTTGCAAATGCTCTCTGTACTTCTGAGTTGTTCTTTCCTCCAGTAAGTTTCCACAACAAACTTTCGTTGCTTAAGAGTCATTCTTGTTCTATCCATTGCTGCTAGCTAGTCCGACTAGCCGCTACAAAATGAGATTGTAGGTGAAAGTGGGATATGATTGCCAATTCGTAAGAAGTAGCTGTCCTAATTCAACATGTGATCACGCACAAAAAGAAAAAGAACTTGTAATTACATAGCTTGAGTCATTGAGCGCTAATTAGGCTAAGGCATTTTGTAGCAGCTGATCAGACCTCAAGGATGCTATTGAGGCAGAATGTTGAGCGATATCGGTGGACATGTTAGGCGAAGTATGCGTTTTGGTAACAGAGAGATGCCATCAATGCTTAGAGAACAACGGCCAACATTTCGAGCATAAGCGTTAGTAATTAGCATCTTCTGTGTACCACAAAGAGTCTTGCTCATGTGATATTGGAATTAGAAGTCACTTTTCGTATGTTAAGAATTTTTCACAACTTATTTTCTGATTTTGTAGTTTTTTTGCATTCTTTAGTTGTGCTTAAAAGCTGATTTTGTGATTTTCTGCATTCATTATTTGCAATTGATAATAATAAAGAAGAGATCAAGGTTCACATGAACTTTGATTGACAAGAACATCGTTGATTTAGAAAAATTTGGAAAAAAAGCCAAAAATTCAGCTTGCAGTGTGGATACCGTAGGAAGCTGGGGAGTACGATAGCGGAAAAATGATAGCTAGATTCAGCATCCCCGAAAACCTCAGTTTACGTTCTTTGGGTTTTTTTGGAATTTTTTAGAAGCGGTTCTCGTCTGTCAGAGCTTGAAATTAGTCAAAAATTCCTACCGTAATCCTACAATAACTAAGAGGGACCGTTGATTCGCTCTATACTGCAAAGCTAAGTTGATCCCAGCTCTATCGTATGGCACCCAATTTCTGCGAAAGCTCTCCATATAGGGAAGTTATTAAAGATCAAACGTTCGATACATTTTTTTGGGACACCCTGTAGATCCAAGAAAATGTGGCCACAGAAAGAGGATAAAGATCTGAATCGAATGATACCGCAACCGTTCGTCGATCAGTGCTGTTGAGTATTGGCGACCCATCATAGAAACGGACAAAGTTTTGGAACAACCTAACAACAAGACAAGTACCGATATCCGAAGGGAGTAATACTCGAAGTTTCAGGTATAACCACGTTTGCCAACTATGTCATTATCGCATGCTTGCTTCACTTGTTCTGGCCTACTAGTTCTTATAGTAAATACTTCTATCTCGAATCGCAGTACGTTCACATTCTTTTTTATCGACCAGACATTTGTCTAAAAATTTCTGGTACTGCAAATTACTTTTTCAGTTTGCACCGACATCGTACTGAATCACTGGAAATACACGATCTTGAAAAACTGCTATTCGAGACGGATGAATCGGACTTTGACACGGCAGAAACTAACCCTGACAATCCTCTTCTTGCCATCTGATTATTGTTTTGTTGTTATGTACAGAAATTGTGATAAAGTTTCATGCCTTCTACCTATACATCGCACTTGTGCGAAAACTTGCTACGCAATGGCCGTAATCATCAACGAACCCAATGGGTTCCGCTACATAGTGGGTAGGCTTAGAGGCAGCGGCTCGGCAGAATGAAACTTTGGGATACTCATCGTTCTTCACTCTCTTGGATGAGCTGAGTCTGAATCTGTGCTTTGCAACTTCTAAAGATATCAATAACTCGCTTTCCTGGACGATGCTATTTGGACGAGTCGCGAAACTGCTGGAGTCAATAATCCCCGCCGAAATGGGTACGGTGTCTCAACTCACGAGCGGCGCTCCAAGGAACAGGCTTACGCCGTCGGCCCAAATAGCGCTTTTCACGTCTGGGAAAGCGGGTTATTGATATCTCTTGAAGCTGCAGAGCACAGTCTTGGATTTAGCTCGTCCAGGTGATCCGAGAACGATGAATATCCCCAGGCAGTCATTTTGCCGAGCCGCTGCCTTTAGCCCACGAGATCGGATTCACGAAGCTAGTGGGTTCGCGAAGCAGCAGTGCTTTTTATGAATATCGATGTGCTTTTTGTGAATATCGACCCGACGCAGTGGCACCGTTCTTCTTACCCACTGGGTAGCGGAATCCATTGGGTTCGTTGATGATTACCGCTAAGATGGTACATACTTGTAGCGCTAAATCGGGCTAAAAGATTCACATGCTGATCTTTATATACGCTTAATCACATCTGCTATATCTTATTAGTGATTTTGAGCATACCCACTACCATCTTATTATTGGCAGGAGATGTGGACATCGAATCTCCGCTAAAATAGAGGTTATGGGGATGAAAATTTGTTTTTGCTTTTCAACAAGGCAAAAATGAGTTCCTTCTGGTGTGATCGAACTCCGAAAAAAAACGTAAGAAAGGAAACATTCAGCTGCTGCAGTTCTATTCATTTGCAAAAAAAACTTCCATAAATGGCACTCTTGTCGGACCTCTGCAGAATGGCGTTCAGGCCACTCGTAATTTTGCACTTGAATGTATATGCTCGAGTAAACCATGTCAAAAAATTTCATAACATATAACTCCCCGGTTTAGTCATCATCACTGTGGATGCGCAACCGGTTGGTCATGCTGAGTCTAGCCGTTGATTAGCAACACTTGCTAATCAACGGCTAGACTCAGCATGAGTGGGTGCGGGAACTTAGGAACCCGAATCTAATGGGGGACGGAACTTAGGAACCCGAGCCTAATTGGCTCGATTCGGGGAGTGCCTGCAGGTTACAGTCATGCTCGCTGGCTCCGATTACTCACTAGAACATAGCAACAATCTAAGCCCCGCCCCCTTGAGAGCCTGTTTGGAACCTAGCCAAGGAATGCTGAAAATCTCAATTGAACTTCAGGGCTGGCTCTAAGCCAAAAACCTTCAAAGTGATCGTACGAAGGTGAAATTAGGCTCAAACGAAAGAGAAAAACCGTGCCATCATCATAAAGCAGCTACTGATTTAAACTGATTGAATACAACATTTTCTTGGTTCAAAACTTTATTCAAGTGTTAAATTACTGAGAAATTATTCAAAAAACCGTCAAGTTTTTCAAAAAAATTATTTGAATGCTAAATCCTAGCAAAAAACTAGAATAACATTAGAGAAACGACAGTTTAAAAACTTCTCAAGATTGATAGTTATTTGCTGAAATGCTGAAATTTAGGCGAAAGACTAGAAAATCAATTGCGAAACGACAGTTTATAAAATTCTCAAAAATAAAAGTTTGTTTGTGTGCGGAAGTCTGGGCAAAAGACTAGAATATCAAGAAATGAAAAATCAAGAACTTCACTAATGATATTGCTGAGTCTGTCAACGACAGACGATTCTGATGTGCGAAGAACATCCTGCTAATATGCTGGAAGCAATGACCTCAACCTACGCAAGGACAGGTTGCAATGAAAGTTTGAGGCGAAATTTCCCTTATAAATAGAAGCCCTTTAGGGTGAAAACGATATGAATTAGAATTTTATTTTCAGGATGTAAAATACAAATGGGGGTGTAAGAAATTCTCGTGAGCCATCATTTGTGTGCGATGGACACAAATGATCATCAGATTTGATTTAGAGTCAGCACATCCTGCAAGCATGCCAGCGGCTGATCACAGATAGTTTGATAATCCAAATTCTGCATTTTTGTGCTGAACGCGTCCAAAAAGTCGATAAAATCGCACACATTTTGATTCACCCTCAAAAGTTATCGGAAAAAATCAAACGAAAGGATGAGAGAGGCAAAGCCACACTTAATCGAGCATAACAATATTATTTTTTGATGAGCACGGCTCGAAAAATTTGTAAATCTTTATTTTCAGGCAATTGTGGTAGTTTTAACTACTGAGTGGCATTTCTTGATGTGTTTTGCTCGAAATTCAGCACTCAAAAAAACTATTATTTCTGAGGAGTTCTTGTTTTTCATTTCTTGATATTCTAGTCTTTTGCCCAGACTTCCGCACACAAACAAACTTTTATTTTTGTGAATTTTATAAACTGTCGTTTCGCAATTGATTTTCTAGTCTTTCGCCTAAATTTCAGCATTTAAATAACTATCAATCTTGAGAGTTTTTGAACTGTCATTTCTCGAATGATATTCTAGTCTTTTGCCCGGATTTAGCCCTCAAATAAATTTTTCTGAAACTTGACGGTTTTTTGAATAATTTCTCAGTAATTTAACACTTGAATAAAGTTTTGAACCAAGAAAATGTTGTATTCAATCAGTTTAAATCAGTAGCTGCTTTATGATGATGGCACGGTTTTTCTCTTTCGTTTGAGCCTAATTTCACCTTCGTACGATCACTTTGAAGGTTTTTGGCTTAGAGCCAGCTCTGAAATTCAATTGAGATTTTCAGCATTGCTTGGCTAGGCTCCAAATAGGCTCTCAAGGGGGCGGGGCTTAGATTGTTGCTATGTTCTAGTGAGTAATCGGAGCCAGCGAGCATGACTGTAACCTGCAGGCACTCCCCGAATCGAGCTAATTAGGCTCGGGTTCCTAAGTTCCGTCCCCCATTAGGTTCGGGTTCCTACCGTCCCCCAGCATGAGTTGGAGTTCGATTACACTAAGAAAAACTAATTTTCGTTTGTTGAGGAACAAAAACAAGTTTTTTTTTCCAACGGTGAGGAAGTTGACAATGAAGTGATTGGTGTGAAATAGCATCTTGTGCCAAAAAATGGCCTAGCAAGTAGTGCTTTTTAGACAGAAATTGCATTTGTAGTCAAAGAAAGAAGCACCTTACCTTTTGTGATTACTGAAAAAAATGAACTTTTGCAGATCATGCATCTTATATAGTAATTTTAACAAAAAAACTTGTTTCACTTTCACCCTAGTGGTAGAAGCAAAACAGGTGCCACGTTAACGAGAAGGGAGGATGCAGATTCCTACGTGAGTATATAGCCACTCAGATGCAAACCACTCAGAAGATGCAGGTGACAAGAGAAGAAAGGTTTTCTCCAAGAGCGAGTACGGATCATTTCTTCCCCCGATGCCACTGCAGCATTTCTATTACACTGGATGGATCTTCACAGGCCTGCCAATATCAATTTATGTCTAGCCATTAGTTATCAGTACACATAGGAAGCCAGGAAATTGAAGAAAGTTCAACGCTTTATCTTTTACCTGACACGCTGCCAAAGGTGAGTCGTACGAGTCTGCGTCTAACACTTGTTGATACAAGTTATCATCCGTCTGGCTCAGCTTCGTATCTCTCGCACTGCGTTCATAGTTGCTCCAACGCCGGCCCCTTGCCTTCACGGGGCCGGTAGAGACTGGGCCGCGAGTCCGTCTCTAGGGTTTTCAAAAGAAGTCCTCCTTGATATGCCTAAAATACGAATCCTCCTTGACCTTTGAGGGGAAAATTGAATTCTGACGTCTTCACTTATACCGCAAGGGACTGAACCCAAAAATCAGAATAACAAGCAGAAACTGTTTTCAACCAGGTTGGCGTAAGGCAACGACATGAAACAGTCCCCATGTCTAAGGCCTAAGGCATACTTTCCTGCGATATCGTCAAATCGTTACATCTAGGAGACTTGGCGACTTGCCAGATGTCTACAGATTAACCATACGCGGTTTTTGAATGCATAAGCGAGAGGCTTCTTTAACTTAACGATCTGGCCCAAGCAAAGAGCTCTTACGACCAATTATGGGAAATCGTTGCAGTGACGTATCTCGCAGCGATGGAAATCAGGTGAGATATGGCTGAGGCATAACGATAGATTTTTGACGGAGGAAGTGGTCCATGTTAGAAGAACCCTAAACTAATGTGTGAATTCGTAGAACTATGTGCTCCACACTGACTCAGTCGTCTGTGGCATCCTGTAGTAGGGCTAATTTGAAGGTATTACTTCACATAATTTCATAAACCTTTCACATGACACTTATGTGAATAATATATTCTTTATATACAGTCCATCGGTGTGCTATGCTTGTCTTTGGGCTGTAAACAAGCCATTTGTTTATTTTGACCTTGCATTCAAATCCGCGCACTTCGTGAAAGAACACGGTGGAGCATGTCAGTCGTGTAGTAACTCGCTTATAAACCGTGTGTTCCTCTGAGTGGTAGCATATTGCCTGCATAGCATGTTTTACAATACCCCTTTGCTTTTTGTCCCACAAATCAAGTCCATCGTGCCTCTAACAAGTTGCGAGTTAAGAGTTCCGTGCCAAGCGCTAATAGAGGTTCACAGACGTCGCTGCACCGTCGTTGCTCTGTTCCCGTCACGTCGTTCTGTGCAATCTTGTTGATGGCACGATGCCAATCAGCTGTAGACAAGCCTAGAATTACTTTGGTTATATCCTCCTTTGAATTCGTGTCTCATACGAACTTTCCACAAACGCGAAATTTCGAGTTCTTCACGTACAAAATAATGAAGCTGACAAGGGAATGGTCAGAAATCGAAGTGGCCAATCCATACAAGCTGCATACCATTCGACGCAGCATAGAATGCTGATTTCAAATCTCTCTTCCGTATCTGCAGAGCGCCTTTATAGAAGAAGTTGTCAGCAGCTTTACTGCGAAAAAAATCGCATACGAAAATTGCGAAATGCACATTATTGTTCTTTCAGCTCATCTCTAGGTACGGGTCATATGAAGTGATCTAGTTGCATTTTTGGTGCAACACTGAGCCGAAAATGGCTTTGTACGGCCAAGTTTGCACTTTACACGCACAATTTCTCGACAAAATAGGCCTTCAACGGCTTATAATTTTGTCCACAAAAGCGCTCTGCAGATAAGGAAGACAGATTTAGAGTCAGCGTGCTGCATCTAATAATATGCAGCTCGTATGGATTGGCCACTTCGACTTCTGACGATTCCCTTGTGAGGTCTACTAGGCACAGCCGTTCTACTAACAAAATCGCTTGTGGGAGGAACAGCAAGAATGTTGAAAACACTGCGTCCAAGCAAATGCAGAATCTATTTACCCTCCAAATAAAAGCATAATTCAACTGCGCAATAAATCAGCTCTTCCTTTTAGACTTCTTCCTGAAGCCAAAGAATAGTATGGTGACAAACGATGATCGATTTCCTTCCTTACGCCAATTTCTATGGAAAGGTTAAGTTAGCTGAGTTATTGAATGCAAATTCAGTGAACAGTAGTAGAGAGCTTGCTAATTCCAGTTTCAGCTTTCACTTGGACTTCCACCAGGCAGCCTGAACTGTCAGCCGGTATATTTTTACCGATTTGAGCGTGGAGCTTATAATATTGCACGAAGCGATTCCTGTTTTCCACTAAGGGCATCCTTCTAGGCTTGCAGTCGTTAACCCACATCAAAAAATTTGAAGCATTCACGAAAGAAAGGCAAAAAGTTAAGGCCTGACAAGCAGAAGGGGTTGCTTCCAAAAGTTGAAATGGCCATTGTACAGAGGCCTAGGGGTGACAGGAGTGTTTGCTTTGATTAACATCCATGCAAGAATCAACAAGAATTGAAAATCAGAGAAAAGGATGTAAAATCTTGTTGGATTGCGAGGTCGCACTGAAAGGCGATACTTCACGAAGCTAATTGCAAAGGTATGCTCGGACAGCATATTAGTAATTGATGGGAAGGATGGTCAACAACTTCAAATATTAGGTTGTCCCAAAAGCAAACTCCATTTTGAAATAAATTGAGCTGTTTTTGTTTTCTCAACAGATACAGGGTACCATTCGACAAAACGGAGCAAGCTCTACAGCAAAACCACCAAGGATCCACCTAAGTCGTAATCCAGGTTTTTTCAGCTACCCCGAAAATCGGATTTCCTTCAAGAAAATTCCTACATACTTCCAACTTTGTCATATATAGCAGACACATAGTAGTTCCCAAAAAGGTATTTGGTGGATTTTTTCTGGGGCTCAGAATTGAGAAGTAAAGGTAGTCCGAAAATGCTAAAATGCCGCTTTTTTCGGGTTTTTATGTAAAACTTGGTATTTCTCGATCATAAGAGCACTTTGAGGGGTAAAATTCTGAGAGTATAATAAGTAAGGCTTGTAGTACACAATGACATATGTGGGAGGGGCTGAAGGCGGAGTTTGCCATTTTTGGAATATCTTTGATTTCTCGCTTTCCATGCGCGGGAAAAATCCACTAAAGGCACATTTGGGATTTTTCCTCGCAAAAGTCCAATTTTTAGATGACAAAAATTTTTTCGATTTTGGCTCCAAGCTTTACATGGAATGCTGCGACTTGGGCGGGCCCTTGGTGGTCTTTTTGTAGAGCTTGATCTGCTCTATCGAATGATACCCCAAATGTACCAGGAAAGCAAAAACTGCTTGAATTAGTCAAAAAAGGAGTTTAATTTTGGGACAACCTAATAGTTAATCTAGAGGTTCTAGATGTCTTGAGTGGTGGCAGAGTTATCATCTCCACCTGAACAATCGGTGGAGGTAGCCATGTCAAAAAAGAGATGACTGTTTTCTCGCACTCCGTACATGACTGAGTTTTTCCCCTACACGGGTAGATTGTTAGTAGGACGACTAGCAGTTTTTGAAAGAACGCTTGTTGATTCTTAAAAAATTAGAGCGAGAAAGGTTGAACGTGTGATCTTGAACTGGTAAACTATCCTCAAATCCGCAAGGGGAGTGCGAGTAGCTAGCAACGCGATATTCCGGTGCCTCTACCTCCCATCCTTAGCGATTAAGCAAACCCGCGTTGAGTTCAGCATCGAATATCTACTTCAAGCACGTGGGCTAAGGTTTTTTCTCAAAAATTCTGTAAATCGTTACATCGTATTGTTCCTTAGTATGGAAGACTTGCTGCCTAGATGATGTTTTCAATACTCAAATGAACTTCACTTGATCGTTAAATTCATCGTGCAAAATAAGTACGAGACAGTTAAGTCCAAGGAGATGTTTAAGAACAGGCAAAGAACGAACACTATCATTACGTAAGTGGAGAAGTTCATTTTTCCTAAAATAGTTACCAAGTGATCTTTGCATTGCAAAACTTGAGAGTGTCAAATGAAAGAGAAGAAAACAGCAATTCGAATGTATTGGCCTTATACGGTGAGGATCAAGCTTACACTGGCTTGGACAATTCTAGTTATGTCCCAAAGCAATCGGTAGATAACGAAAACGAACTTGAGTACGTGAAAAAGGAGATTACTGAGACTTTCGTAGGTGCCACCGCGTGCTACGTAACAAAAGAAATTTTCAAATCTCATCCCTGCACGCGTTAAACACATTTTGTTCGAAGTCCATCATACTGATGCTACCTCAAGTTTCATACAACTTGTTATTTGTCTTGAACAAGCCTTGTTGCTATTTACAATAGGATATCAGCTATCTCAAAAACGAAAAACCTGTACAGTATGCTTTCCTTTGTTCTCCTCATGAATTCCAAAAATGAAGCAGTGGATTTTCAACATGCTCGAAGAACTCAGCTAATTATTGCTCTCGTTGTTCTTCGGCAGTGTTTGACAAGTTCAGCGAAGCCAGTTCACAAAATCAGGGAGGAACGGACTATCACCACGTAAGGTGGAGTTTCATTAATTTCAGATGTGTGATCTATAGATCATTACTCAGGAGTGTTACTGTTTACTGAACTGTGTATCATGTTGAAGAGTACGAGTAGTTTCCGGGATTGTATTTACGTCAGAGGAGCTGTAAAGGCAATCTTATGGTGCTTGATTAAATTTGAACTTTTTATACCTTCAGAACTCGAAAGTCATCGGTCATACTTGAAATGTACTCTTTGAACTATGTGACAGATGTGTCGTCATCGTTTTTTACTTTGATTGAATTTAGTTTAACATAATGAATTTTTGGATGGATTTATGGTTAGGGGGTGGTAGTTTATGCTGAAAAACACGTTCTTGCGAAATAAGTTCTCATTTCTAACCAGTTCTTCAGCGAAGGACCCTTTTATACTAGGGCAGCTGATAATAAAGTACAACAATTTGTTGCCTTTTGAAGACAAAGTACTGCAAACTGACCACCTCCCGGGGGTGTGACCAAGGTCACCCGCTAGCACTACAAAAGCAAGGCGCTGCGCCCGGAAGTGCAGGCATTTAGACCTACACCGCACTATGGACAGCCAGGTGTTCGCTATCACTCTCGCCCTTCTTTGTCTCACATTTTCAGAGGTGAGTCCCACTTTGAGGGCGTCTCATGTTCTCAGTGGACCAGTGGTTGTTTTTCAGGCTAAGGTAACGGAGGTTACGGTGTTGAAATATGACGGGTTGGAAGGTTATCACTTCCACAGCGTAGGCCAACTGAAGAAATTCTACACTTTCCAGTACGTTACTTATTCATTTTTGATTGATTTCCTTTGATATCACACCCTTTTCTTTTAGATTTTGTCTTTGTCCCGGCGACGTTGAATTACAACTCAATCCATCGGAACGCCATACTTGCCAATGTAGTCCCAATATCAGGTAAAATGACCTTGAGTTTGATTATAGCCTCAATTCAATTTTAATTTTTGTTATTTTACCCTCTTTTTCTTGCCTATATTCATCTTGAAACTCACCTACTTGCAGGGGTAGAAGCATAGCCGAGTCTTATCCACACGCGGTATATTCCTCAGCCTGTATTAACAAGGCAGACTCGGAAAATTGCTCCAAAACCACATTTACTCAGGTAAAAAAGTTCATATCAGTCTCTGCCAAAATATTGCTTAACTCATTCACGCAAATATTTCAGGGAACAAACGAACGTCTCTTTGTGAAAGTTGGAGTCGAAGAAGATCCCATCTCTAAACCTGAATGGCAGGAGTTATCTATGAAAGCGAGGAACACCTATCCTATTCAAACTGTTATAGGTGGAAGTATCAAGTGCGTTTTTAGTGTCCAGAATCACTTGTAGAAGTTAAGTCTCATGTTTCAGACTGACGTATTCCACTGCCTCTCAGAACGACACTGATTCGAGTACAGAGCCGTCTTTCTCTTCAGATCCTGAAGAGGACAAAGAAACAGTGCCCGAAATTCTGTTGTCAAAGAGAGACACATCTATGCCAGAACGACACAACAGGGTTCCGAAAGCCATCAAATCCTACATTATACGGAAGCCAAAAAAAATTCCGCCAGCATGGAAAAACCCAAAATTTTTGTCATCGTGGAAGCCCGCTCTACCGTTAAAAACCGGATCTAACTCGGTAACGAGAAGCAGATCTAATTCGGTAAGAAATTACATCTTATCAGCTCAAGTTTAGAGAAACTTCTGCGTATAAGCGCACGATACTTTCCAACACTGATCATCGCGTCTCAAACGTTGTGCTTCCGTTCATGTTCGTTCTTCAGTTGTGATCTATAAGGTTTTATCGTAAATCTAGCCACTTTTATATCTCATTTCCAAGTTTTCCGAAGTCGTTATATCATGTCCCTTAAGTACTTCTATCTTTCATTTTCACTATCCGTTTTCGCTGAAAAGCGATTTCGCGCGGACATGCGGGATCGATTGTCGATATTTCCCTTCCAGTTAGGTCAATTATACAACAGTATATCTTTGTCTAAAAAATGACTACAGGGTACAATACTGACTTTCTCAAATTAGTCCTAGTACTCCTTCTAACTTTCTGACGTAATATAGTGTAAATATATTAACGCGATCACGAGCAAGATAGGAGGCCACTGATGTAATGTGAGTAATCTCGTGTTGGATAATGCACTTAGTCACTTGAGTGCTATATCTTTGAAGGTATCTGTTGACGAGTCCGTTCTCTTAAGGTGATTGCACTTCCTGCAGATACGTCCTTATTTGACATCTGATCAGTCTTCATGAAAAGTGTATCCGTGCGCAATAGTACGCGATAAGCATGCTTAGGTCAAGACCTAGAGAACTGGTTCGTGCCGACGAGCCAGCCGCTAGCCAGAAGGACACATGGCCTGCCTTTCATCTTTGGCGAACTGATCAATTTCAGGTAGGCTCGATACGTCAATTACTAGCGCAGACTCATAACGACCGTGTTAACCCGCTGAGTTTCAACGTCAAGCAGTTCAAAGATGAGGTCTGAGCAGTTTACACTTCACATGTTGTAACCAAGAAAAAGTGGTCCCTCGAATTTACCGCTTTTCAGCTCACCATCTATCACAATACTTATCGTGCCAAACATGGTGCGCCAGCTTTAGTCTACGATGCTCACCTGGAACAAGCAGCTCAGAAATATGTGAACATACTGAAATTGAGGAAGAAGTGTCTCGCACATGAGCAACCTAGAAAGTAGGCGTTTGGAAAACTGAGAAAATAACAGGTCAATTATTCAACGCATTTTAGATACGGAGAAAATTTGTTCTTTTTCGCTGCAAGTGATTTCCCAAATGCTTCTGCCATGGCTCGATTGGTGACCGAAAGCTTCTATATGGAAGGCCGAGGATATAATTATAATAGGTAGGTAATTTGAACCTTGCTAAGGAGAAAGAGTCGTTCAACTGCTCTGAAAATATCTCTTTGTGGCTAACACTAAACTTTGCATTTTCTTCCGACAGAAATCATGCGGATATATAGATTTGTATATTTCTATATTTCCGACTCCGGAAAGTTTCTTAAGTTGAATCATTTCTTACCTCCATATTCTTTCTTTTTTCGTGCAAGGTTTCTAGAGCTATTTTGTTGTCTTCACTCTGTTTCGTTGAACTCAGAACCCTGCATGTTTCGTATGATGAAAACGTTATGATGCGCAAGCAAAATATCCATTGTGGCGGAAATGAAAATTTCGCGCTGTGCCTAGATTAAACGTAAAAATATGCGAAACGAAAGAACGCCTTAGAAGAACTGTATATTTTTGTTGATGTGAATTGTGCCTGAAGCATTTTACTTTAGCTTCACAGCGACTGGGCTCCACAGGACTGGGCACTTCACTCAGCTGATATGGAAATCGTCTCGACGGATGGGTGTCGGAGTGGCGATAACGAAGAATAACGGTTCAGGTGGAGGACCATGCGCAGTTGATGCGAAAGCCCCCTATATGATTCATGTTGTCATCAAATACGATCCCCCGGGTAATCTTTTGTCCCGAGCCGCATTTACAGAAAATGTCAGACCGCCAAAGTAGAGCATATTATTTATCTAGTAATTGTTAGTAGCAAGGACGTTTGGCTTGATGAATCGAAGATCTTCGATCATTGCCGGTTCTTTGCAAGGAAGCAAAAAAAGTCCAAAGCTACAAATCTTATGTCTAATTTGATTGTACACCTGTTCATTGTTGCTAATAATTGTCTGTGGTCGTCATGTGAAATCAGCAATTGGAAGACGAGTTCTTGTTGAATGAATGATCTCTTGTTTTGTCATTTTCCATGTTAAAAGCTTTTTTTGAACAGACCAATACCTTGATTAATGCATGCTCTTTATTTGGCACCACGGTTACAAGTGAAATCTTGATTATGTGTATCGTTATTGTATTTGGAATCCATCCCTTAGGCCATAATTTCCATCCTTATTCATTGTATTACAATTTCGCCCGTTTATAAACATGTCTGAAATGTGGAGGAGAGGTGGAAGGTACATACTCGAAAGCTTTCCCACTCATCTTTGCTAATATATTAGGTTGTAACATAAGTCTTGAGACATTCCGAAATTTTGCGATAAGTCATGCAGTTTACATATTAACAGGGGTCCGGGATACCATTCGATAGAGCAAAGCGAGCCCTACAAGAAGGTGTGCAAAAGTTTCCCCCAACTTCGACCCACTTCAAGTTTGCATCTAAAATGTGAATCGTATTAAAGGTTCAAAGAATAGCGAAAAGTTCATATCTTCGTTTAAAAAAATCCTGCGAATCTCCAACTTGCTCATAAAATTTGCACACTACATCAAACACTCATTATAAACCGTTCCTGAATTTCTTCATCACATAGAAATCGAGACAACGTGAATTTCCAGCTTTTCACAAAAACGAAGCTAAGCTGTTTCCATTCATGTAAATATATACTACAATCCCTCAGAGGTGCATCCGTAAATTTTCAGCTTTCCACAACCCTAGTTTTCGAAAAATACCGGATTTAGCATTGAACACTCGAGTGAGAAAAGTAAATTCGGTATTTGTTAAAAGCGGAGGCTTGTGAAAAGCTGAAAATTTACGGTTATATTTTCAAGGGATTGCAGTATACAATTACATAAGTGAAAACAGCTTAGCTTCATTTTTGTGAAAACCTGAAAATTTTCGTTTTCTCGGTTCTCGGTCTAAATAAGGAAGAAATTCAGGAACGGTACATACATATGCGTGTCTGATGTAGTGTGCAATTTCTGTGAGCAAGTTGGAGATTCGTAAGACTTTTCTGAACAAAGATATGAATTATTCGCACTTTCCTGAGCCTTCAGTACGACTCACATTTTGGATGCAAACTCAAAGTGGGTCGAAGTTGGGGCGAACTTTTGCAAACCATATTGTAGGGCTGGCTCTATCGAATGGTGCCCTGGATCCGTATTGAAAATGTGAACTGCATGACTTGTCGCCCAAAAAGTTAGTGTCTCAAGACTTATGTTACATCCTAATAGTTAACTTTTGAGTGGTACTGTATCGTGAAGCTAAACATAATTGTGGATGCACAGTTTGCAAAAGGCATCTTTCTTGAATATATTATTTCTTGAGAGAAAGCGTGCGAAGCCAAAATATTGCTGAATACGAAACTTCGGATCACGAAAACCTCATTTCTTGCCTTCATCAATTTATTCGTCGTAAGGAAACAGTATCAAATTTATATCGAACTTATCGTTTACTTATTGTTAGGTGTTTTGTTGTTATTGCTATGCAGCTTGCTCTAGTTTTAAAGTATCTAACCTGTTATAAGTGTCTTTGACACAAGAACAGTCGTACAATACAGGTAATCGTTCAAGGGTCATGTTTTCTCATGGTGCTTGCATACGAAACGAATTGTGAAAGAACGGGAAAAAACTGAACTATGCCAGCGAACATTTCACATAACAATGGCAGTCGGTATAGGCACTAAAAATTTTGGGCTCATGCACACTCATAAATGATAAAACAAGCCAATACAAGTTGCTGCTCAGTTGTACGTATTATCTATCCATTCAGCAACAAAGCATTTGAATGAACGATACGCTCACCTAAACTTCGAGAGGGTTTTTACCATGTAGCTATTAGGAGAATTAGGTCAAGAATTTGCATTAGATTTGAGCATGTTTTTCCATTGATTTGAAGAAAACTTGCACCAATAGCAAGTAGTCCATGGTAGCAAAACATCTGCAAAACGTGGGAGGCAAAGTAAATAACATCCTAAAAATTCTAGTTTCAATAATCAGAATATACTCTATGAATACTCATATTACTCTATTTTGCACGCAGGCTTAATTTGCATTCAGAACTCACATATCCCTGAATGTTAGGTCATTCCAAAAGTTTTTGCTTTCTTTAAAAGCGCGTCACATTGATTGAACAAAGACTTCTAACAATAAAAGATCTTGGCAGCATTCGAAGCATCATTTCATCCTCTATCCAAAAATTGTGGGATTGTTGTAGCACAGTTAATGAGTTCTCGGAAAATAACCAAAATTTGCAACCCATGCTTTTTGAGATGGCCACAGTTTTATAAATTTTTGTAGGAACCTTGCAAAGGAGTCGAAGTAACAGGTGGTTAGAGTAAATTTCTCCTTATTTCGCCATAATTGTTCCAAATTTATTAACTGAAATCACCGAATTTTGGCAGGCCTACGTTAGACACAAACGCACCAAACACCGATAAATCTTCGGGATTATAAACTTCCAAGACTACAATGTGTGATTTAACACTAATTTTACAAAGCCATCGAGTGTTCACAGATTCGAGATATCACATTTCAAACTTATAGCATGGGGTGCGTCCAAAAACTTGAGTTATGGTGATTGCTCCCCGCAAACACCACGAAACGAAAACTAAAACCATCCATTAGAAAAAAGAGAAAAAGCTGCATCGAATATTACCCGAGCTGCTCACCGTTTGATGTTCCACGCGGTTTAAGTTGTCCAAATTTGGACATTGATAGCATCAATTTTCTATCATAAAAATATGCGAGTTATGGGAAGGAAAATAAGTAGGTTTACATCCTGTAGGATTTGCTCTATCCACCCGTTAATTGAACTCCTTCGGAGAATTGATAAAACTTGGAAAAACTGTGAAACTTAAGCATCTCAAAAAGCATGGGTCGCAACTTTCGGGAATTTTCCAAGAGCTCAATTACTGTTCTCCAATGATTTTATGACCTTTAGAAAGAAAATAAAATGCTGTATCGAGTATTTCCAGAACCTCTCAAAAATCTTTGTTCCATCAGTGGCGCCCCTTTGAGGAAGCGAAATTACTTTCAGAATGACCTAATACTCTGAACCTTTCTCTGTTCAGTGGTTTTCAAACTTGGCATACTAGGATTCTGTGACATCCATTTTTACTGTTATAGCTTCGACATAAACCTTTTCAAAAATACCACAGAATAGTGATGGGTCCACGTTCCTGCTCTTAAGCAGCTAAAAATCAAAATTTACACGTTCAGGGTTATTTCCTTTAGCTTGATAGACAGAGATACATGACTACGTTTTAATCGAAGTGGTAATGGTTCAAACATAGCTCGAACAGATCAGGCCTTTGGAAATGAGATATAGTGGAATTCGCATCAAGAGAAAGACAATATTGGAAGTGAAAAGTGAATAAAATGTTACTAAAAAGGAAAACTACACTGCTGCACGGTGGTTCTTCTCTAAAAAGATTAGTGGCTAAGCATATTCTACCTCGGTCGTAGTTTTCGTGGCTCCAGCTGTTCTTCTTCTCTTCTCGCATGCTCTCCCTTCGGCACTCTCTGGACGATGGACGACTGCTCGAGTTTAGCAATTTAACGTACAATGAATTCGCTCATTATCTGGAATTTTTGCCTCCTTCTGCTAGATCATAAAAGTACCTTATAGCTGTCAACTGGCAGTTTTGCTTTCAGTCAAGAGGGAATGAGTCTTGGTAAAAGGCGAGCTGCTCTCACGTTTACTGGTGATTTCAACGAGCCGGTCATAGGTAAGCTGTCACAAATTTTGGAGGTTTCAAATCCGGGCAATTTGCTTTTAGTCGAATCAAACCCTTGCATGTTCCACTGATTCAAGAGCTTGTGAATTTCTCGCATAGATTGTTATCAAATTCATAAGATTCTTCTCACATTTACCTTTACAGATGTCACCGACATGAGAGATGGCGTCACCCTAGTCCCAGATATCCACCAAAACGTATTTCGACCCGCAAGTTTGCAACAGGTATATTTTCGCAGCTGACAAAAAACGCTGCTCTCGCGGGGTGAGAATTGATCTCGGTGTAATGATAGCGAAAAGCTATCTACCTCGGAGAGACGACAAATAGTCGCGTGATCCGCGTACATAATCTTCGACACCTCTCTTACTTACCTTGATATGCCAACTTCTAAAATCCATAGTCGCAAGGTGTATCTGCGATTCCTACCGCGACCGTCTACTGATACATGTGCTGCGTACACCGAGAAAAATAGTCTGAACACGGTAAAGCAGTTCTTCCAGATTATACTCATTTAAAATAATTCGGGAGACAGGATGCTGATTATCTGCGGCAACCCCTTCACAGCATTTTTCTGGGAAACTTCAGAATCTCACTATTCTTTCGTTTTGAAGTAAATTATTGAAGTTGTTATTCTTGATGCTACAGTTTTTTTTGACTGACATGATTACACTTCCAAAAACGTCAAAAACACTTTATGACCCATCATCATCAACTATCTATTTGCTTCAATCGCTTTGTCTTTTTTTGTTTCCCTGATGAGATATTGTTAAAAATGTTAATTTTGTTATATATAAAAACTGTTCGAAAGTTTCATTGTATCTTACTTCCATATCCGCTCTCTATGTCTCAGCAACCATCAAGTACACAAAGAGAAATTGCAAGCAGTAATTCCAACTTCTGCAACGATTAGGGCAAGAGAACATCGGGATAAGAATGAATTTTGTAAATTCTACTGTTTCCGGTGTAAAGATGTTTTGTGTAATTGTGTGTACTTGCGCAGCATGGTTGCATAAAGTTCACTATCAATGCAATGTAGTATTTTATTTGAAGAACTAGTTTCTTTTGCAAGAGATAGTCCGATATGTGCAATAGGTAAGTAGAAAACTGGAGAGCTAGTTCTCTGCAATGTGCGGGCCTCATGGATGAGAATTTGTTTTCTGCGTTTTCCACATGACTTCAGTGGAAACGCGGCTTCCACAACAGGAGAAGGTTCGCACCTTCATAGTTGACATTTGAAGCAAATTTTGTAACTGACATAAGTAAAGCTTCATTTTTCTGTTATAAAGAATATATGTTAACATCGTATACTTGCAGGTTGTGGCTGAAACGCATTTTTCAAAAAAAGAGGTACGAGCAATCTATAGAGCTTTCAAAGAGACGTCGCCCAATGCTGTGATCAACAAACGTACGTAAAACAATCATACACCATACCCTAATTAAGGAGTGCGAACTCGAATATCCATCAAAGGGACCCAGAAAATCTTGTTAAAAAGAAATATTTCAGATATACTGAGAGAAAAATTTGCTGAGCTCTTCCCACATGGTGAGATTGAGCACTATTCTGATCTTCTCTTTGACTCATTTGACAACGACGGCAATGGAAACATCAACTTTCAAGTTTGTTTGCACTATGTAATCAACCACATATTTGGGATTATGCGTATGAAACCGCAAACACATACTGTACCAAATTTTTGCAAAAGCGCCTCGATAAAACTACTTTCAAAAAAAAAACGTTCTATGCTTTCTAGAACACTCGTGGGATTGGCACGGAACGGAAAGCGTGATTCTATACTTCAGTGAAATAGATGGAGCATGTAAATATTAGAACAGAATCCATCTTGATTCATTCGATTTTGCGCTCAACTAGCTTTTCGGCGGCCTCACAAGGGAAGGATGGTTAGTCGAAGTGTTTTTTGTGATGATCTGTAGACGCTATTGGAGGGCATAAAATGCTGATTCCAAATCTATCCTTATTATCCGCGGAGCGTTCCTGGACGCTGAGTTATGAGCGTTTAAAGGATTAAAAAATGAATGTTTTTCTGGGATAAAAACAGTTGCGAAAATTTTCTCAGCACTTGAATGAAACAGCCGGAGTGCGAATATATCTCATCTAAGAGTATTTATTTTATATAGTGCTGTAAAGATTATAGTCATCTTCCCCCACTCACCTAGTGGACGAAATCGAATTTGAACTAGAGCACTCCGGTTGCGGCAGAGCGCGGCATCTGCAGCTCTCACTCCAATCTCAAACACTTTTTTTGTGTTTTCGCGACTTTTCAACCTAATTTCTTGAATGCTGACAGTTTTCTCAATCCGTAAAGAAATTGTTGCTTTTGTTTGAGAGATGGATCTTGCTGCTATACTCGTTTCTTTGACTACGATTCCAAGAGCTTGGAAAAAGGACTAAGTCTGAAAACTGGTGAAATTTTTCTCGGTAAGTTTTGAAGTGTTGCTTCACTGAACACTTCATGTCAAAAATGCTCCATGTGAATCGTTTTTCCAAGTATTCCTGAAAACACAGTAAAGAAACGGGCATAGCAGTATGAAACATCGCTAAGCAACAAAAAACTCTTCAATTCTGATCACAATCATCATTAAACCAAAAAATCACTATACAACGACAATAAAACGCAAAAGAAAACTGCATTAGCTTGAAATGCATTTGACGGTGCCGCGCTCTGCCGCAGCCGGCGTGCTCTAGTTCAAATTCGAATTCGTCTATTATGTGTCTAATGGGGGGAGGACGACTGTACCATTGGCCCTTTTAAGCGCTATGAAAAATGTTACTACTGTTTTTATATTACTTGCACATTCAATTTTCTCTCGCTCATAACTTCTCGTGCAGGAACGCGCCGCAGATAATGAGAAGAGATTTGGAATCAGCGTCTTATGCCCTCCAACATGGTATACAACCCATCTCAAAAGGCCACTTCGACCAATCATCCTTCTCTTGTCAGTGAAATTCGCTCAGATTTTAAGCAGCATGTATTTTCGAGAACATACTTCCTGACGAATATAAAGTTTTCTGACAAATTTATTAACTAAGTACTTTAGATGTGTTTGATATTTGAAAACATGTTATAGTCGAATATTTAATAGATGCATATGTTCTAAAACATCCTTTTCCCCGTTGACTATGTTCCGAGTAAAAGTAAGATCGCTACCTTATCCGCTATCTTTCAGGAATTTGTCAAGGCTCTATCTGTGCTCTGTCGGGGCACCATGGATGAGAAACTCGATTGGCTATATAAGCTATACGACCCAAAGGGAAAGGGTGAAGTGACGTGGCAACGAATGTTCTATGTTATCACCTCAATGGATGACTTAATGGGTGAGTAAGAAAAAAAACCTATCGAAAAGTTATGACATGCCTTCAAAAGCGTTTATGGAAATATGATTATGAAGCTATCAACAGTGAGCGTTACCTTGCTCGACTAGAAAAAATGGCAAGAGAGAAACAAGGAGATTCTCAGGTACTTACACCATAGCGGAGAGGAGAGAGCAAATATTAGTACTGATTTACTAGTAATTGGTTTATAGGTCAAAGACAGAGCTTATTTGAAAAAAAGCTAAAATCTACGTGAGGAGGGGGTGGGAGGGGGGAGGGGAAGAGAATTATATTGTTGTTTCCAATGCTAGTCAAGCCGGCACCCATCGCTAACGAACTTAAAAAAAAAAACTTCGCCACCCTTTATACGTCGAATTCTCGTAAATTTTCTACACTTGCTTCGGGGTCCCTCAGGCACGCAAAATTTGGTCTCATGTCAATCCTTATACGCCCTAAACCTGCAGTTCGTCACTTATACAACAAAGGAATTCGAATCTCGCGCGCTTGTGAGAAGCCATACCAGAGCATGTAGACGGTTTCCTCTTCATTTTACGACGGCCAACTTTGAAGTACCACCTGTCTTAGCCGTACCATGCATCGACCTCATACTCAGTATTGGTATATTTAGGAAGGAGAGCTCGTCCAGTGCCAAGTCGAGAACAGCGGGCACAACATGCACATAATGTTTTTCAGGTAGGTACATATATACCGCAATTTACGAAAACATAGTTTTGCTAGGATCATCGTATCTGTTTAAACTTTCTGAGAGATGTCTTTATTCCAGAAATTCGATATTGGCAAACGAGGACGAATATCCAAGGAAGATTTTATAACAGTATGCAAAACTGATCAACAAATAATTGAATCTATGTCAGCGTTGTACACAATATTACCGGGTTAATACACGTTATACATACATACTGTAGCAATTTTATTATTAGTAATGATATAAAATAACGTAGTAACTCAAGCAAAGTATAAGAACCGCCATTTGTACAGATTACGACAATTCCAGAGAAGACAAGAAACACAGGTCAAAAAATGACTGGAAGATTGATGAAATAAAAGATGTCAACTGAGAACGTTGTATACACGTATAAATCCGTTATAGTAGATTATAGGGCGAACTCCGTTTATACACAAAATTGCACCCTTTTCCTTGCCGGCCTGGATGCTAATGCTAGGGATTAGTAGGAATAATACTGAAGAAGCAACAGAGTAAGATAGTAATGAAAGAAGACGCTTACAAACCGCGAGGCGAGCTCGACCACGGCAGTAACTGGCCGGTTTAGCGATAAATGTAGTTGGCGAAAGCATGCATGGATAGAAAACGTGATGCAGTGCTGAAAGGATGTATGGAGCCCTGAAGAGGTACGAATGACTGGAGGTCGGGTATCAGATGATGAGAGCGCGCTGGGCTGCGGTTAGTGCTAGTTTAAGCAGCTGAACAACAAGTAAAAGGGCCTGCAGAAGGACAAGGTAACTCGTAATGATCCCGAGATAAGCGGAACAAAGACTTTCAGATTGGTTCATAAAACAAGAATATTGCAATGATAACTCGGCACATAGCAATGCAACGATAATTATAGTTAATGACAAGGAAGAGGATAGAGGAGAAATCTATTTGAAAAAGATAAAGATAAAAGAAAAAAAGATAAAAGATAAAAGCATGAGCTTGAAAGGAAATGTACACCTGCGCAAAACTAGACGTATCACACGGAAGGTGCGTCAGTGGATCCAGTTGGTGGCGCACAAGTGCGGTAAAATATCAGATTATACTCCTCATAGCCTCCATGAAGATGATCTTCGCTGGAGAAGCACGACTCTGTCGTGAATCCAACTCGGAATCGATATGCAGATTGGAGGTAATTGCCGACAGACAACTCGAAAATATCGTCTCCTATCTGAAAACAGCATTTGAAGCGCTAATGTGGTTGACATGTATGCGAATTACCTGATTCGCTACAGGATACTGTGAACGTTCTGCACTGAAGCTGTCACTTTGTAAGGGACAGTATTTGTGCTGAAAATCTGCCAGGTACCCACAATTGTTGACAAGCTTTCCTTTTGGTACTCTGAAGAAATAATGTGATGAACTATAGTGGCCGTATTCATCAACGAAACTCGTGGGTTCCGGAACCCACTGGGTTAGTGCTTTTGATGAATATCGATTCTTCCCTGGAATAGAATCGATATTCATCAAAAGCACTAACTCAGTGAGTTCCGGAACCCACGGGTTTCGTTGATGAATACGGCCACAGATGGTAAAACTCAATGACTTACGAGAAAATAATTTCCAGAGGTATCGTCGGAAGATAGGGTGATACGGGGATGTACATGTTAAACCGTCCACGTTTCTTATTGCAGCTTTGCTCGATACAATAACGGCTATCGATGGTAGCATTGAGGGTGGGTATCAAGATTCGAACGCCTGTGCCAAGCGGCTTCTTTGCCGAAGCATCCGGAGCATTACGGGCCACCATATTCTTACTGCGCTCGCCCAGAGTCACGATAGCATCCATCTGAAAATCATTATTAGGTTTCATGCATGGAAGTAGTGTGAAATCAGCTACCTCATTCACTCTGTTGACAGAACGGTAGACAGCTCGATCCGCGCAACAGTAAGTATGACAGTGTTTCGATCGGCATGAAGCCATCAACGTTGGTGCATCCGGTTGTAGCATCGGTAGATATGGATGGTCTGAATGAGAGAAACTGCACATTCATCATAATCCACTATCAGATTCCACTGCTTACCTATCTGATATATCATATGCCCAACACCTTCTGCCGAGCCTCCAGATTTTGTCGATGGGGTAGCGTTTGGTGGGTAGAGATGCTGGTAGCCGTAATTCCGGTTATGCCAATCAAGCACGTACAGAGCAGACATGGCGATAAGACAAGCAGCCATTACTATGACAAGGGTGATGATGGTGCCTTGGGTCAACTTTGAATTGCAAAGCGGTTCCTGAGGATGACACTGCGACCGACAAGTACGTATCTGTAACGGAGGACAGACGTATATGACACATCCTTCTGACAAGCTAGACTACCAAACCTTCCGTCTGTCCCTGTTCTCTTTAGCTATGGAGGGGGATGTGGACGCAAGCGAAGTTCGTGAATACGAAAGGTAGCTCTTGTTGTCGCTGACGATGCCTGATGATTGCTCGCTAAGGTTTGAAGCGATAGAACCTATGAGTTTCTTTCTCCTAGCATATCGCGCTAAACGTTGACTGATCTCTTCGACCTAAAAAACTTTTGGTTTATTATCATTCTTACTCATAATCCTTCGTCACCTTGTCGTCAATTTTGGTGTCCAGGTCACCCGTCAGCCTGCACAGTTCCTGCATTGCCAGCACGGTCTCATAAAAGATGCGCGATTCATCGACAGTCAAGTGAGTGCCAATATCTCGAACAGCATCGGGAATGACCTGAAAACGATTATTCTTTGCTCTCCTGAATTGTTTCGATATTATTAGGTTGGCACATAAGTTTTGCAACTTTTCGCGTAACTTTTTCCTTATTATATGTAGCAATCTCATTTTGTGATATCATGTAGAACGTGATGTAAGCTGCAAGTCTGCGCAAACCGTTTGATTTTTGATAACGTAGTACAAAAAATCTAAGCAATTTTTGAAAACTGCTGAAAATCGAGGTTTCATGATTTTTCGGCAAACATGAAGCCCTACGAAACCTTATTCAAACATATGAAAAAACAATTATAGGCAGCATGTAGCTGGAAGTTGGCACATTGGAATCAGTGAAACAGAAATGAAATTTAAACACAAATTAAGGTGGGGCGCCTTTGAGAAGTTGAACAAGTCAAATGCGTCAAGTTTTGAAGGCAATTTGTCAATAACTAAGCTGCGAAAAGTTAGAATTTGCTATAACTTTACACTGTAGGGTAATCCTATATGGTGAACACGAATATCATATTCATTTCTCGCTAAAATAGAATTTATTTTTTGATCTCACGAACGAGGCCTTTTCATGCGAAACGGATCTCATTTTTGTGATCAGCATGTCGAATAAGCCCTATAGGTTAAGTTTCAGCAAAATCTGATGCATTCTAAAAATTTTCCCATAGTATCGTAAACCTACCGTAATCCTTACATAACACGGTAAAATTCGGCAAAAACGTGAGCATTAGAAGCTTACATCATAATCCTTATCTTGCCAAAAAATGAATGTGCTACGTTCAAAGAGACAAAAGTTATATAGAAAGTTGCATTACTTATGTGCCAACCTAATATTTTACACACATTTTGCAACTCTTGTGCTATAAGTCCGGTCCTTTTTCTTTGTTCCTCACTCAGTCCCCACAGCTCAGCTATTTCTGGTTTATAGCGGAAATCAACAATGCGCAACTGCTGCAGATGTTCAAGTGCGTCTCGAGATGGTTTCTCCACAATGTCCTCTTTCAGGCGGATGTCGGACGGTCGCGTCATCTAAAAAGAATGCATAACTTCAATGCACATATTTCTTGGATGCCAAAAATTGAAAAATTCACCTGTCCTGTGATGTAGATGTCTCCGTCGACAGTGAGCTTTGCGGCAGTGCGATCCGTACCGATCGCAACTGGTCCGTGACAAACCAGCGTGCCACCATTTCGATACCATTGCACGTCACTCTCCGGTGGCTCGAATGATCCAGGATTCGTAGCCTAAATCCGGCAAATTTCAGCGCTGTATGAGAGCCAATAGTGAATGGAGTTCTCTTCAAGTCATAAATTATTCGCAACAAGAGCTGAGCTTGACAACGAAGCGCAACCCAAACTCTCGCATGACTTCCGCTGAATCATTCGCCCGAATCACTTCTCTGACTGTCCAGGATGTATTCGTCAGTTCTGACAGTAACGAGCTTCGTGCACGCGTTGAAGTCACCAACGACTCGGAACTGGCTCACTCAGCACAAGTGGTTTTCCGTGGTTACATAAGGAAAGCGGAAAAATTAGTATACGAGTTCCTGCACGAACAAACTTGGATCCTCGTTAAAGCCAAAGGTAGGAAGAAGCTGGCGGAAAAAACTGAATTAGGTAATTTCTTTTCTAATGTTCTAGGAACAAAAACACACGAAGTAGCAGTGGATGTGTGGCTTCCCCGCTTCCCGCCAACAATGAAAATCTGCGACGATATATATGTAGAATATTCTGTCAGAGCTACTGTAGATCCGTGGTTCTTGAATCACCACGAAGAAAAAAGATTTCGTGTGGAAAGGACATTGGTGCTGAAGATGCCACACATGGCCTGCTATCAGCAGCACATAAAAGTTGACAGATGCGTTACCCATGCAGGATGGTATCATCGGTGAGTTTTTTTTTGCATTTGTAACTTTCTTTCGTAAAATTTATGCTTAGGAAATGCAAGGCTATCAACGGTGATATTTGGGTGGATAAAGCTGCTTACTCTCATGGCGAAAAAGTAAAGGTAAAGTGGCAGCTTCAACTTGACATGGATGTAAAGTTGGAAAAAGTGAAGTTAACGCTCGTCCAAAACCTTGCGTACAGGTAATAAAACATCCACTGTTAATCAGGAATGAACTATAATGCTTCAGGTTGTCTGAGCCAGATCATCCGTGTTTCATGAAGAGCACCAAACATGTGGTTGCTTCACAAGAAATCTCCGAAAAGAAAGACGACCAAACAAGAGTCGAACTTATAGTACCGGAACATCTTCCTGTCACTATGGCAATGACGTTATGGAATGTACTGACAGTCCAATACGAGCTTATGTTCCAAGTGAAATTGGAAGGACATCGCAACTTGGTGGATTTCAATATTCCAGTCATTATCACAAGTGAACCGGTGCAGGTGAGGAAATCGTTACTTTATAGAGCATTGCCTCAGAAAAGGCATTTTAGGGTCGAACAACAACACCTGGCAGTGAGATAAAGCTATTCATTAGAACGCAGGACATCGATGACGACACGGACGATGACGACGACTGCGACTCGGTGTTGGACCTCAATTTCTCAGCTCCACGACAACAAAGTCAATCTTCCATAGAAGTTGACGAGCTAGAAATTAGGACCGAGAAAGATGGCAAGCTAACCAACAGCTACGCTTTAGTCAACTTCACAAACAACAGCATTCGTGAGGAACAACTTTGTCTGAGGTTGCTACTTCAAGGCGAAGTTCGAGCTGGATTAACTTGGTACACATTCCTTCGCTATAAGGCCCATATCTCCTCCGATTCCATGTCGCTTCTAAGTCCCGGCAGTCATTCGGTCAAAATACCCTTGCCATTCAAAGATTCTCAGTATGATACAAATATTCTTCCTCCCAGCATGGACGATGACATTCGCTATGTCTGCAGCGTAACGACAAGGCCTTGGGAGATAAACGACAATACTGAGGAGAGAACGATTGACGTGGACTACGTTGTTGATACGCAAGCCAAAGAGAAGTTCAAAATGCCATATTCAGAGATCGTTGGCGCATACGGAATCGAAATGAAGCAGCGCACATTCCAGAGAGGAAAACATGTATTTGTGATTGTCAAAGGAGAAGTGCGAGCTGTGCGCTTACGACTGGAGCAGCAGAGACGAATACGACTAGCTGGACTGGATACCGACGAGAGCTACTGTACGGAACGAGTGGTTGCAGGCATGGACAGTCCTGAAGACAAGGAGAGGTGGCCTGAGCAGTGGTCCATGAGAATTCCTAAGAATATACCGCCCAGTATTGAAATCACCTACTGGAATGTGCTTGCTCTAGACTACTCGTTGAAGGTTGTTCTCATAGCTGAGGACGGACACGAACACGCTCATAACGTTCCTGTTTGGATAGGATGCACAGATGACCATCTTCCTCCACCGCAACCTTTACGAACTCCAAAGATGAAGCCTAAGGAAGAACACCATCCAGTAAGAAAGCCTAAGCCTCAACTACCTGATGAGCTTCCAGAGTTCGAAGTGGTACGAAACGAGGAGACCCACGAGATACCGGTATGGGTTGACAGGTACACCGATCACATGTATTCATGATTTTTCGAAAGCAATAAAATCTTTACCTGTGAAATTTGTAAACATACTTACCCGAACGATAACTTTCTCTGATTGCTGCGCCTGGATGAGCGCAGGTGGTCCATTTTCTATACAGGCGAGTAGGCGCACGACGAGGAGAAAATATTTTTGATCAGGGTTCGGTCGATTGTTCTTCCTCTGGTTGTTGAGGGTAGTCTCAGAAAAGTGGAGCCTAGGTACCGTCACTTTTGTGATTTCGCGAGCATGAATGCTCAGGCTGAAAAGGTCATGTTAGTTTGTTTATATGAGAGACAGACAGAATCACAAACATGACGGGATCGTGCGGTATCGGTTTGCGGTCAGTTTGTGATTGTTTGATTTGAATCTCAGAGGTGAGCATTTCGGCTTTCACTCCACAAAAGGCCAACTTGATCGCTTTGATCGGATGCATCACTCCATCTACCTTGACAAATTTCGGCGGATTCTCGTCATTGGCTTCGATGTTCACTGAGATCTGGAAAGAAGACGCTATTACTAAATCTTCAAAATAATTTCTAGCCATCGTACTTGGAAGTGATTCTTCTTTTGATTGACAAAGCAACCATCGGAGTTTGAGTAGTTGAATCCCTTATCGGCAACAACGCAAATTTTCAACTTCGTCAGTTGCTGATGGTTGATGTCGTACAGAGGGCTCCACTGGTCTTCTTGGAACGTCGAGAATTTGATCACCTTGAACTAATACGTTAGTTTGGATTGGTTGCAGTATACAAATTTTGTCGAGGATATGGACAGCAAAGAACCTGTTGCGAGAAGTTTTCGTCCTGGTAATTACAATCAATGGGGCTGGCTGCTACGGGCGCTTGCCCCACCCCGGGGAATGTTGGCAGGAATTTTGGGGGATCAAGCAGCTGGCTGTCGTTCCGTGGACGCTTTCTTAATATAGTTTGAATTAATGACACAACGCTAGATAAACTAGCGGAGTAAACCTTGGAGCTTCGCTCTGCTGACTGTTAATGCTTCTTTCGCTTGAAACGTTCAATAGATTGAACAAACCAGCACTGTAGCCACTATTGACAATATATTGCTGACTATCATGTCGACCATTCGAGACGGGAGGAGAGACCTAGAGCAAAATTGGAACCAATATCATGTGGAGCCATATATGGAGACAAGTAAAGACAAAAAAGAACCTGTGGCAGACTACCAGGTGTCGGCTGGCTAGGAGGGTAAGGGCTCATAAAACATCCATTTTGTGGAGATGTCATCGGATGTGATACAGCACCATGAGGATTTTGATGAAGCTCATGTGTCATGATACCAGGAACACCAAGGATAAGTCCATTATTGTTCAGATTTCCATGGATACCTTAAATTTTAAACTACTCAGAATTTGCTTGAAAAAAGCAAAAATTTGAAAAGTTTTTTTTTGGAGATCTCAGTTCATTTTGGTAAATATACGCTCTCTTAGCTCAACAAAGCCAATGACAGGTTGGAAACATGGGATCACACGAATCTGGACGAAAGATAATGACTCTACACTTCATGACAGTTGAAGGCAAACCTCCACAGAAATCAAAATCGAAGAATTTTAAATTGATTTATTTGAAGGCGTTAGAAGGTGAACGATGAACGTTTTTTGACCTGGTATTTTACATGGGAGAATAACCCAAGATAACTCAAGCTCTCCAACATTTTATCAATTTGAATAAAATCTCAAATACATGCCATAAATGGTACAATGTGACTTAAGAAGATTTCTTCCACACTTTTCTAAATTTTCATATTTCTTGGTGCAAGACTTTGTCAATTTGATATAGAGCAGAACTGGGGTTGTTTGTCTTTGGAACTCACCAACATAATTTGGATAGTTTTCTGGAGAGTATGGAGCGTCAGAATTGCTTTCCGGAGATCCAGACGATCCAGCGCCCGAGATATCTGTTATCGGTGGTGAATCAGGTAAACGAGTGGCATTCTGGAAAAGTTGTGTTTGCTATGCTGAAGAAAAGAAGTCTAGCAATGTTTTATTGACAGAAGCAGGACATGATAGCGGGTTAGCACTAGGCAGCCAATTTTTAGTCGCAAAAATTCAGTGTTGTATGCTACAAGGAATATTACCTGGAACATAGCTTGCTGATTTTGATGCTGACTATGTCCTAGCCCTTGTAAGCTTCTTTCGTTGCTTTGTTGCCGTGCAGGATCGGGGCTATCCAGTGGCGTACTAAACACAAATTTGAGATAATCTACCCGAGTTCGAGGTCACGTTCTGGAAATATGTGCCACTATCCTGCTAACAAGGTCAAGGCTTTGGAAAAGGTTGCATCCAGCTACAGCGGGTGATCTTAACAAAAATAGCGAAGCTATCAGAACAATGCAGAGCATCGCAGCGCGCATCAGTGGCTTTTCGTCGAGCTTTCACGATTCTTGAGAAGCTTCGAAAAAAATGTTGAGCGGGCCCCTGGTTGAACTAGCTCTCGCAGCATCCCTGCGGTCTTTTGACGTGGAATCGATTGCAGAATTCGTTTTTAGGCAAGCACCAGTTACAGCCGGCACTGCACTGACCTGTTATACCCTAATGCCACCCATTACTGTGTCGACGAAACAATTTACAACGCCAGTGGCTACGAAATGGGGCTTTTCCAAATAACATTTCGCCATTTACAAATAACTCAAGTCCGGAAAATTTTTGCAAATCTGTGTTGCGTCCCAAATGAGGCAATAAGCCGCGAAGAGAAAGACAGCAGTTTTTGAAAGAGCACGCAAGTCGGAAGCTCATCTGACCCCTACCTAATCGATCCGGTCACACACGACACCAAGCGGCTGCGTCGGCAAATAAACCGGGCCTTCCCACTCAAAAGAATCATGTATAGTGAAAAGCAGCAAACGCACTGATAGTTTTTCAATGGATAGGTCATCAGACATTTTTTATGCTCAGTAGCTACAAAACAACGGCGGTGAAATTACAGATCAGATCGGAGGAAATAAGCAAATCAAGTAAACTCACTTATCGTTGTGGACGAATTCCAGCAAGTTGAAAGTAGAAAGATTGCTAAATTCACCAAGAGGGTCAGCAAGCCCCTCCTCTGAAACAAGAAGACATTATTGAGGCAGAAAGAAATTGCGCACTTGATCTCCTTAATTTATATTTCACTCGAATTTTTGGAGCCATTTGCGTACGCACGAAAAAGAAATCGTACGCGCGAAGTGCAAAAAAATGGCTGTGCATGCAATAGCTCAACGAGTCGTTCTAGCGAAAAAACTGAAGGCGAAGTGAGACAAGAAAACGCCATTGGGACATACCTTTGAAATTAAAAGATCGGCTCTTAGCCATGCAGATTCATGGAAACGAAGCTATGTTAGCGAGGGAGCGCGTTCAGCAATAAGGGCTGCGCCCGCCTGTCCGTACCAGGCTGCGGCCCCCGATGTCGTACGACAATCTATTTTTCTCTGCGTCCACCTCGCTAGCGCCGAGGTTCACCCTTACCACCATGTCCCTCGTGCTCGCACCCCGTACTCGGCACATTCCGAAGAGGATAAAAATTCGGGATTGTAAACATTTCTGATGACAAGTCTCTTTGGAGCTAGTTGCGCTCAGCTTAGAAGCTGTGACGTTGAGCGAAATGACGGCGCACGACATAATCTACAAATTGTAGTTGCGAAAATTAATCTCTATCAAATTCTGCGAATTTCCCTCATACGGGCCGCGATTTCAAATCAATACGCAATTGACCCTGACCTTGCGTCGGCTGTTCCCTGGAATGAAAAGGAGCGAGGTCAACGGCTACTATAGAAGTTGACTGCTAGCACCATCTTTCTACCAGCTTGCGTCATCTAAATTGCGCCAGACGAGACGGCTATAGACATCATTGGTTGCCAGCTGACTCATTTCCCTTACAGCTGATCGCTTTCTGAATTTCCTACTATTCTTGACGGCAAGCATCGTCCAAGACGAAATTTGCTAGTTATCTCAAGTAGCGGCAGATCGGTCAATATTCCCCAACGTTACAAGTCTATTCTTCCATGTAGTGGGTCGAAAAGTACAAAGTAAACAACCGGGCACTCCCATGTGCGTCCTACCAGAGAGCAAGAGACACAGCTTGGCACGACAGCGCGGCATATTCAAACAAAATCGCAACAAGGAGGTTGCACTCCAACAGGACTTGCATTTCTGGCATCTGTGGCTGCTTAAGAAGCCGCTCTTTGAAGTGACTTCGATGCGGAAGAGCAAAAGGATGAATCGGTTTTGGCTCTGAATTGAAGAGTGAGATAGGCAATGAGAATGGAGACTTAAGTTCGATGCAATGAGAAGAAAGTTCGTGAAGATGTCCGAAGCCGAAGAGAGGTTCTCAGAGTCGCAAGTGATACTTTAGTGCAAGGCGGCTGAGCTCAGCAGCCGGATAAGAGGATCTCTTTGCTTTTTCCAAGCCAGTGTGCAAGAGCCGAGTGCTTGTATGGCTTTCAGGCAAGGCCTACTGTTTTTGCTGTACTCACACGCCCCGAGTTCTTTTTTCCGTTCCTTTCCGTACGAAGCGTGCCGTCGAAAGTGCATCGCAAGTGCACTTGCCCTGCTGGTCACTGGTGCAACGATGGCGGAATCGGGTGGCACGAGCGCGGCACGGTGATAACACGGCGTGGGCACACGTCAGCGGATGAGCGAAGTCGGCATGCTGACCGACGTGAACCCTGGACTCGTCCGCCTCCTCCTACCAGCTTCGAGAATCTTGCAGATTTTGAAAAAAGACAGTGTCTTCAAGAAATCAAATCGAGAGGATTGAGTTGAAACAAAGACCAAGTTACTCTTTCCCTTGGTGCTCAAAGACGTTCGCTGTATCTCCTCAATATTGAAGGAGTTCAGACATGGCAGAAAATTCTAAGAAAAAAAGACTAAGAAAGAGGTTAGAGCTGTATTTCAGAAGTGTTAGATACGAAACGCGGCGACTGAGTCATGTGCGATTGTACCAAACCGTACCAAGCTATAACAGATGGAGTTGGTTAAACGGTGAAGAAAACATTACAGATAAGAATATGGTAACGGAGCAGATTTGACAATGGAAATAACTAACATGAAAAATGAATTCAATGAGAGTAGCGACGTTAGCGAAAGTTATAACAGGACATGTAACAAGATGTACCTACCTTCAAAATATTCAAACTCCTTTGGGTAAGGATTGCCGAGCATCGGTAGAATGTAACAGAACTATGCGATTAGTCACAAAGTTCACGTGTGAAAACAGCGACTTTCGAAACGGTTCATGCGATCGTTTCTAAACAAGCCGAAATGACAATAAGATTCCGCGCCGAAGTCTCACTGCAACACTCCAGGTATGACGAATAAGAGAAAGGTGTTCTGCAACAACTGTCGCTATCGAGAAGAGGAGAGGTTACACAATCTTTGTAAGAGGAAATTTTTTTTTGACACATGGAAGCAATGTGAGTTGATTGAAAAGAAAGTGCGCCCAGATACGACACATGAACGAATACAGGAAAGAGAACACTTGAACCTCCACCCCTGCCGTAAATGACGACAGAACGTGTTGAGCCCATGTTATCAAGTGTTTTCTCGATTGCCTGAAGCTGGGAAAGCGAAAAGAAGCTGAAAAGTGAACTTAAGTGTTTGAACAATATTTGACCTGTACCATGCTTTGACTTCCAAGCACTTCTTTGTGTTTTGCCTCGAACAACCTCTGCAACATATATGCAGAAGTGAGAAAAGTAACTAAATAAGCTACGAACTTTTTTTAAAAAACTAACTGTATATGAACAGAATTAGTTGAAGAACCGTCTTTTTTTAGAGAGGCTTCGGGTAATCTCTGATTTCGTATTGTTAGGATTATCTTGCTGGACACAGAATAACTGCAACAGAAATTTGATAAGCGTTGATTCGCCACAAGCAGTGAATGTAACTATTGGGATAGGCTAAGGTCAAAGAACGAGGAAAAGAATTATGTGGGAGAAAAACGTCATTTCTCTTTTTAAAATCACATGGAAGAAGTGCACGATTGAAGCAAAAATCACTGCCTGCCTAGCAAAAGACGTCAGAGACTCGGAATCCATCAACAGCGATTTTTCAGTAACAGTTTAGTTGTACTGTACAGCCCCAATCGTAGCTCTACATGGAATACTGGGAATGGGGTGCTGATTCAGGAGAAAACATTCAAGACAAGTACATATAAGAATGTCGTTTTTCCAACATAAGGCTAACATTGCACCCAAAAGCGAGAGCTGCAAATGTATGGCGGTGATTTGTTTACTATTAGGTTGTCAAGAAAATAATGTCTTTTTTTCGGGTTTTTTCGGGTAAAATTGATATTACTCAAGAACTAGAGCACATCCGAGGCCAAACTTTTATGGCTAAAGTTACGAAGCTTTGTTGTATACAAGAGCATATGTGGGAGGAGCCCAGTGTGACTGGGGGCGGAGTTTGCCATTTTCCAACTTTCAATTTTTTCTTGGTTTCTAAGCATGGAAAAAATATATCAAGTGTACCTATGGATAAGTGCATGGGTCTATTACATGCAGAAGCAAGTGAGAGGTTCGCAGGATTTTCTAGGGCGAAAATCCAATTTTTGGATCACGAGTTGCTGGTATGTTTTGGCTCTGAACTTTGCGTTAACAACAACTTCTGCCATTGCTCGGTTGTGATCTTGTAGAGCTTCCTTTGCTCTATCGAATGGTACCCCTCACATATTTTTTAAATTTGTCTTATGGCTTTTCTATGAAAAACGACATTATTTTCTTGACAACCTAATATTTAATGCGTGAAAGCTCTTCTTGCAGCGAAATTTTGTAGACGAACTTGTGTGAACTGAATGGAATACTTTTGCACAGCTTCACAGAGCACTGTCCTAGTTCAGAGAAATACCAACTGATCAGCAGATTTCGTTTCGACAGCATTTCAATGCAATAATGTGAGGAAACGCGGAAGTACGTGCTAAAGGGAATGTACCATGTCTTTGTTTCTGGTGTGAATATAATCATATTGCTTCATTAGGGACCGATGATCTGATACATTAGGTCTTCCCAAAAGTATTTTGGCTTTCTTTGAACAGCTGCCATAATTCGCGGAACAAAGATTTGTAGATGATGTGCAGTGCGAAAGTGTTCACGAATTCGAGAAACCAAATCCAGTATTCTCCGAATACAGCCTGGAACTCGTTTAAAACCAGGAACTGTGTCGATTTTTTCGGGAAGTATCTTACAAGTTGGGACAAAAAGCGCCTGTAGGAGAGGTGAAAACTGCAGTGAATGGCACCCGAGCTGCTCCGAATGTTGCTCTATGAGCCTTGAGATAACCAATTATGGTATTTGATAGCTTCAAAGAAATCATTTTGAAGATTCTCAGAAGCAAGTTACGGAAGGGGAAACTGTGTCCTACAGAGTTTGCACTTTCTACCCGCCACCTGGATGTCTTCGGAGATTTTTTACAAAATCTTTGAGAAATAGCGAAACTTAACCTTGCTAAAAACCATGGGTTGTGGTTTTTGGTAATTTTGTGCGAGCTTCAATTGTTAACCTGCAACTTAAAGATAACCATTTGAAAGAAAAGATAACCATTTGAACGATCATGGAAGACCGTATCGAATTATACAAAGATCTTCTATAAACCTTTGTTCCGCGAAATGTGGCACTTGTTCAAAGCGAAAGTACTTTCCTGACGACCTAATATATAGCACCTTTGTTGCATTGTTTGGTGTCTGAAATTTGGAAGAATTTTCGACTCATGTCCGTAATCCCAGTTTTTGGTCTTGATTTGTCCACCCATTTATTTCTTTGTAAGTTCTTGGAGCATATCCATATCCAACTACTTGTGACTGTCAGGCTCCCGCCAGAGTGCCAAAGTTATGCCAGCGCTACGCCAGCATTTCGATCGATACACGTGTATTTCGTTGGGGCGGGGCTAGCTCAGCAGGTGGATGTCAGCAGGTGGATGCCTCAATTACGCAGGCACCGGGTCGACAGGCTGGCGGGAATCAGTTGCGAAGAGACCTCGGTTAGCCGACTCGCAAAGCATACTATTCTATCTTTTGTAAAGGTTTTCACGCTACCATATCAAATTTCACTGTTCAAAAGAAGTTTGGTCTCAAATCTTGTAAAAATAAAACTGATAGTGAATGGAAATATGGAAGTTACTATGTATTTGAACACAATATACAGTGACGGCCAAAAAGTTGCGGACAAGCCTCCCTCCTTTTTTCATCGCTCTTTTTCAGAGGGAAAACAATGATGAAAAAATGTAGTAATTACATGAGGTGATAGAGCTCTTCAAGATCTACAATCTACACCTTGAGTTTTTTGAGAAACATGTGTTCTAAAAATCTTAAAAATCTTTTTCTAAAAAAAGTCCGAAAATGGCCGCGTCACAATGTCGCGGACAATAATTCTTCGAACGCAAAAATTTCCTTTTGAGTTCTATTTTACAGCGGAAACACAAGTTATCCGGACGGGTAAGCATACTACTATACAGAGCTCGTCAAGAACTACACACTGGTTATGGTTGCTTC